AGTGATGCTTTTCAGTGTTAACTGTTTTAATAATGTAGTGTGCACACTATCTTTCTTGGGCGGATTTACAAAATCAACTGATAGATCCCAATTATCCCATGGAGTAATTGGTTGATTAATCATTAGTTGAGTTGGGTACATATTTAATATTTTGATGGAGTTGGCTACCTTGTAGAACCAATATACATAATCAGATTTCGTTCTTCTATAGACCTCAGGTGAGTGCAGCATATTAGAAAGTTTAGCTCGAAACTTCATGTGTTGTCTAGATCTACTCAATGCCTTCACGCCGAAAACTGTGCTAATAGACAAAATTCTCTCACTTATGGTAGGTAATTTTAACTCTGCTCTCATATTAACTATTCTCGTGGACTTTGGAGCCCCAAGGATGAGACGCATAGCTTCGGAAGTGTAAGAGGTAGAGGCGTCAGAGGGGAGGAGAAGGATGGCAGCTAGGAGAGTTGATGTGTTGAGTTGTATTACGGAGTGACGGAGACCTCTTGAAACCACACGACCATCAGTAACCGGACACTCCCGGCTGACACCCGTGACGTTGACAGCTGGCCGCTGCTGCTGCTGCTGCTCCTCGGTGGTGAGCCCACTCAACTCTCCCCCAACACAAGCATGGGGATCACTCTTTCTCACCTGGCGATTTTTGTACCTTATATATGATGCGAAGTTAGTGGTCTTACTTTTAAATTGAAAATAAGGTGGTTTTCGGTATTTTTTAACGTGATTGTCAGGCTTTTTCGTACATACATTCAAGGGAAGCAGAGAGGTAGTACCAGAATGTCAGCATAAACATCTAGGAATCGATAAAAGATGGGTGTGAATGACCAAGTTGGTAGGCTGAATAGGATGGAAAATTACAGGTATGTGAAATTGCTCAGTGAATGAATACCTTTCACTGAGTTCCAGGTGTTGAAACTAAAGCTCGAGTACCTGATTGACGCCGGAGAGAGTACACCACTTGCCGAAAAAATGAGACATAAAAAGTGCCACTTTTATGTCAGCATTGTTAATACAGAAGCAACTTAAGGAGCTAGATGTAACAGAGACAGTACCTCTCCAAGAGTACTGAGAGAGGCTCCACAAGCACTATACAGAGAGCTGCCTGATAGCTGGAAAACAGCATGTGTTGTACCTATATACAAAACGGGAAACACCAGTGTTGAATTATCTGGAGCGATAAGCATGCAGGTAAGCCGTCTGGGAACAATGTGTAATCAGGTTTTCTCCTAAGAAACTATAATTATTAAAAATAAAAAGTATTATTTGTGAATTTACGTTTTCGAGGTCAACACGCATCTTTTTTTTTAGTAAGACAAATTCATATAAATACCAGACTTGGTACATTCTACACTCGTGTAGTTTAGGATCTTTTGTAAATGTTTGCAAAAATGCCATTGTTGAAATATTAAATAGCGGAGTTTTGAACTTGTGTGGTTTACTCCCAGCGCCTCTCACACAAATATTAAATGTTCCCCGAAAAAGATTCTGTAAAAACGGAGCAGTTTCTCGAACTTGTTTACAAAGTTAGGATGTCTTTAATAACAAGTTGGGGATAGAGTTAGTCGGTTAATCAACTCGCTCCTTTCTGTGGGGATGGGATGGGGGCGGTGGAATCCTTTTTAGACTAATTAGATAGTAACAATTATAATGTATAATTGAACTACGATTCAATTACGATACTACTACGACACATCGTCGTCTCCCCCATCTTCTGGCGCTTGGTTTTGTCGTCTTTTCTTCAGCTATGTTATTGTGACTTGTCGTCTGCGTCTGAACTTCGATTATTAAATTATTAGGATAACCTATAACACTATAGTGAACCTAATTACCTATTAAAACAACCCACAGCTGAACACGGTGGTAGCATGTGACAACCCACAGCTGAACACGGTGGTAGCATGTGACAACCCACAGCTGAACACGGTGGTAGCATGTGACACACCACAGCTGAACACGGTGGTAGCATGTGACACACCACAGCTGAACACGGTGGTAGCCTGTGACACACCACAGCTGAACACGGTGGTAGCATGTGACACACCACAGCTGAACACGGTGGTAGCCTGTGACACACCACAGCTGAACACGGTGGTAGCATGTGACAACCCACAGCTGAACACGGTGGTAGCATGTGACACACCACAGCTGAACACGGTGGTAGCATGTGACAACCCACAGCTGAACACGGTGGTAGCATGTGACAACCCACAGCTGAACACGGTGGTAGCATGTGACACACCACAGCTGAACACGGTGGTAGCATGTGACAACCCACAGCTGAACACGGTGGTAGCATGTGACAACCCACAGCTGAACACGGTGGTAGCATGTGACAACCCACAGCTGAACACGGTGGTAGCATGTGACAACCCACAGCTGAACACGGTGGTAGCATGTGACAACCCACAGCTGAACACGGTGGTAGCATGTGACAACCCACAGCTGAACACGGTGGTAGCATGTGACAACCCACAGCTGAACACGGTGGTAGCATGTGACAACCCACAGCTGAACACGGTGGTAGCATGTGACAACCCACAGCTGAACACGGTGGTAGCCTGTGACACACCGCAGCTGAACACGGTGGTAGCCTGTGACACACCACAGCTGAACACGGTGGTAGCCTATGACACACCACAGCTGAACACGGTGGTAGCCTGTGACACACCGCAGCTAACACGGTGGTAGCCTGTGACACACCGCAGCTGAACACGGTGGTAGCCTGTGACACACCGCAGCTGAACACGGTGGTAGCCTGTGACACACCGCAGCTGAACACGGTGGTAGCCTGTGACACACCGCAGCTGAACACGGTGGTAGCCTGTGACACACCACAGCTGAACACGGTGGTAGCCTGTGACACACCACAGCTGAACACGGTGGTAGCATGTGACACACCACAGCTGAACACGGTGGTAGCCTGTGACACACCACAGCTGAACACGGTGGTAGCATGTGACACACCACAGCTGAACACGGTGGTAGCCTGTGACACACCACAGCTGAACACGGTGGTAGCCTGTGACACACCGCAGCTGAACACGGTGGTAGCCTGTGACACACCACACGTAAGCTTTATAATATTGTCTGAACCGTTTATGAACATCAGCTGCAGATGTTCTGCTCTTGTTGCGTAGACAAAAATGCGAGCAATAATTATAATTGATAGTCATAATTGGTACATTTTCGCCAAGGAAAAGAAGCAAAAATTAAAAAAAAATGGTGTTACTAGTGTGCGTGCGTGGACGCGCGCATGCATGCTTCTGCTAGAGCTACAGTCCCGTCTGCTTCACCTTTATCTTATATTCTCCAAATATTTTCTCATCTGTTTCTTGAATTTGTGCGTAAGCTAAAATGCGTATCATCTTGCCCTGCCTGCGATCGGAATAATGCAATTATAGTTTTCCATATGTTAAATCCTTTCAGGCGTATGAAGGTAGATATACTATCGCCTTAGTTATTTCTTCTAAATTTGTCTGCTGATTTTAGTTTAATATTTTATATCCCGCTGGTCTACACATGGGCCCTGGAAACTCGTATGGTAGGTAGCCCCCCCCCTCCCTCCCTCGCCTTCACAACCAAGCAATGTACATTTCACGCTAAGTTGATCAAGTTAAAGTTCACAGTTATTGACCCTGTTGCATATGTAATTTTGTCGATTCATTTTGTTTAGTTGTTATAGATTCGGCTACTGGGAACAAAAAGTTCCAAGTAGCACGGGCTATGGTGAGCCCGTATTGGATTTATCTGGCACAGGAGCGGGGCTGTAACTCTGCATTTTATTTTACATTGTAACTGGTGTTTTAATTTTGCAAAACTGAAGTGATGTCCCGTTTTCTATTTGTTGGTCTTCGATTAGGTTAGGTTCGGGTAATTTAGTACATCAATTTAGTGACTTTGTAAACTCTCGAGAGGAAGGTCAGTACTTCGACCTCTGCCCTTCACAATCATTTTCCTAGCTACACTCTCGCTTTTGTCCTACCTTCCCCCTCCCTCCCTCCCGCCTCCAAGCATTTATATTGGCTGGGGATGATAGTTGTAGCTGTGCTTGTCCACCACAGTGTGCTTGTCCACCACAGTGTGCTTGTCCACCACAGTGTGCGTGACTGGTGGATGTGTAGCAGCACTGTGGTGTGAAGAGCCGAGTGACTAGTAACGTCCTGCCCTTTTATTGACCCTCCAATTGTCGCTTCCACTTCAGCCTTGACACCTGGCGCTCCACGCACCTTGTGTGCTGCCTGCTGCTCCACACACCTTGTGTGCTGCCTGCTGCTCCACGCACCTTGTGTGCTGCCTGCTGCTCCACACACCTTGTGTGCTGCCTGCTGCTCCACACACCTTGTGTGCTGCCTGCTGCTCCACACACCTTGTGTGCTGCCTGCTGCTCCACACACCTTGTGTGCTGCCTGCTGCTCCACACACCTGACACCATGAACTCCACATCACACACCACCTCTCATTAAAGCGTGTTCAATAAGCTTCTGTAAACAAAATCAGCCTCCTTGCAGTGTTGGTGGGAGTAGTCACACTGGGCACACGTGGGTCGCAGGTCACAGCTGCCCGTGTTGTTGGGGCAGGTCAGTCACAGCCTAGTGATCCACTATTCCCACCTCGTTTAACTAACCCCGCTGCGAGGTTTAGGAAGGCAGCCCGTTAAGCAAACTTCCACCTCTTTCATGTGAACAAGTTGATCAAATTAAACACTTCCAGCTTCCCGAACGTTGTGTTCAACACCTTTACTATTTGACTTGGAACACCAATAGGCTTCTTGTATATCATTCTCCGGTGTCTTCTAGGTGGCACTTCCGTTAAGTTGCTTCATGTCTCGTGCAGAGACGTAATGCTCCACGTTCCAGAATGCCCCAGTCCCGGTATTACGAAGTCCCTGGTTGCGTAGTTATCCATTAAATGATATAGTGTATAAGGAATCCCGTTGATAAGAACATCCTGTGAGTCGGAGGCAGACGACAGGAAGAGCACAAGTCAGATAGCCAGTGATACTGTCTGACTGCTCTCAGTGTTGTGTGGGCTGCTGCCTGCTGGGACTCCCACCCCTACAGGATAACTCTTCTGTCTAGAACCTCAGTCCTCAGTCTCGAATATTAGAATTATTTGGTGGGTCGCCTACAAGAAGCACGTACCGCTGCCAGTCGACTGTGCTCGAGGGGGAGTTTCGTGGGCTTGAGTGTCACCATAACGAATATTTGCGCAACGAGACGAGTTGTTTTTGTTTTCGAGACGAGAGATCGTGATAAATGAATTATGTTGGTTGTTATTCTCAAATTTATAATGAAGTGGTGACAGAGTGGAACATGTCATAACAACCCATTTGAAAATATATGAAAATATAAACTGTAATCTCACTGATACAGCTTGTTTTGAAATGCAATACTAAAAATTATTTAAAAACCAAGAGCATATCAGCCTTGGCGGAAGCAACATGATGTACACCAGTGTGTGATAAATACCCCGGGAGCCAGTCGGGAGGACAGAACATAGGGGTAAAGTTCAGCCACGGGTGATAATAAGTATTAAAGAGTGAGGGAGGTGACGGGTCCCCCGCGGCAGCACTAGGCTACAGCCAGCGACCTTGATAACGTCCAGTGCGCCGTGTTAGATATAAACGTGAATATCGTAGGTCTTGCCACAGTACATACAGAGAGAACTAATTGAAAGGAGAAAATACGTGTAAACATATTAGTAAATACTGATAAACTGTTGCTACGAAATGTTGTAAATCCTGATGAACTTAGCGATAGCGTGTGCAAGGAAGTGATGCAGCGGATGGCTAGTGTTGTCGTAGCTGCTGCAGCAGTTGAATGGCGTAAGATGACCTATGGAGGGCATCGCCAGCATTACGTCTCTTCCCAGCCAGCGAGACCTTGCTGGCAAGGAGCTCCTGGGCCAGCCACGGGGCGCCGCCAACCCTCTCCCTGCTCCCGCTCACATAAAAGGTTGCTTGCGCCCGCTGCTAAAAGACGGATCCTTTAAAGAAGGTAACTTTGGTGACGGCAGTGATCAGGTGAGCGGGCATGACCAGCCTGGGAGCCATCACCGGGCTCCTGGAGATGCCTCAGTAACCAGCAAGACAGGAGTAGCAGCAGCGCAGAACACCGCTCATAAGAAAATTAGTGAGTATGCCTCCCGCGCGGTCAGTGGAAGTCCCGAGGCATGGAAGAAATATATTAGCGGCCTCGTCAACGAAGAAATTCCCTCTAGCAATGGAGATAAAGATGAACTTCAGTGCCCTAATACGTGTCAGTCTGTCACAGGTAACGTCAAATATGAACAAGACGATTTGAACATTACTGATGAGGATGATAGTGAAAGACCAATTAATAGTGAGAAAGATGATAGGGACATTGGAGTAGGTAATGTAGAAGTAGAAAGTGGTGTTAGAAACATCGAAGAGAGAGTGGGAATCAACGAAGATTCCGACAACACTCTTGTCGATGTTTCCAGCAGGAGTGATGGAAACCTCGGAGGAAGTGTTGGAATGTGCGTCCAAAACATCGCAGTGGGTGTGGAAAGCATACCAGGAAGCGCCGGACACATCAGGGGGAGTATTGAAAACATCTTAGGCAGTCTTGGAAACATTGGAGGGAGTCTCGGAAACATCTTAGGAAGTTTCGGAAACATCGGAGGAAGTGATAGAAACATCGGAGGGAGTGTCGGAAACATCGCAGAAACTTTCGGAAACATCGGAGGGAGTGTCGAAAACATCGTAGGAAGTCTTCGAAACATCGGAGAAAGTGATAGAAACATCGGAGGGAGTGTCGAAAACATCGTAGGAAGTCTTCGAAACATCGGAGAAAGTGATAGAAACATCGGAGGGAGTGTCGGAAACATCGTAGGAAGTCTTCGAAACATCGGAGAAAGTGATAGAAACATCGGAGGGAGTGTCGAAAACATCGTAGGAAGTCTTCGAAACATCGGAGAAAGTGATAGAAACATCGGAGGGAGTGTCGGAAACATCGGAGGAAGTGTCGGAAACATCGTAGGAAGTGTCGGAAACATCGGAGGAAGTGTCGGAAACATCGGAGGAAGTGTCGGAAACATCGTAGGAAGTGTCGGAAACATCGGAGGAAGTGTCGGAAACATCGTAGGAAGTGTCGGAAACATCGGAGGAAGTGTCGGAAACATCGGAGGAAGTGTCGGAAACATCGGAGGAAGTGTCGGAAACATCGGAGGAAGTGTCGGAAACATCGGAGGAAGTGTCGGAAACATCAGAGGGAGTGTCGATAAAGTCAGTCGCAGTGTAAAACACATAGGAGGCAGTGACGGAAATATTGGAGGCAGTGGTTGGAGGTTTGGGGGCAGTCTCAGGAAATTTGGAAGCAGTTTGAGGAGATTTGGCAGCGACAGCAAGATCAAATGCTCAGGCAAGACCAGAAACACAGAGCTTAAGCTAACAGCAAGTAACGGGAAAACCAGAAATAGTAGCGGGAAAATCAACAGTGTAACTGAAGACGAGGAAAATGGTGGTTGTTGCGGATTCCCAGCCAGGGGTAGAGATGTTGCTGGGGGTTCCCGAGCCAGGGGTGGAGATGTTGCTGGGGGTTCCCGAGCCAGGAGTGGAGATGTTGCTGGGGGTTCCCGAGCCAAGGGTGGTGATGCACCCAGCCGTGGAGGAAAGAGGAACAAGTCTGAAGGTAGTGAGCCTGAAGAAACGAAAGCAGATAGATTACACAAGAAAATGTCAAGTGGGGGCAATAAGGTTGGTCGCGCCTTCTCCTTCAGCCCAGCCTCCAGGAGTAAACCTTCCCCTGCCAGCGTCCCTGCAGTGAACAGAATCTTCGGAAGGTTTTCTTTTCGGAAATCCAGCTCAATCTTTTCGACCTTCAGTCAATTTCTTGCCTCTTATATCTTTAAACCCTCCTTGAGAAAGTCGAGCGATCCCTCACCCTTAAGAACGGAAGATAACATTGATAAAAACGAGGAGGAGAAAGGAAGGGAAGAAATCCAGCGGTGCGCGGAGCAGAGAGATGGCGCGGTGGTCACTGCAGAGGCGTGTCTGGACGCTGAGACGCAGCGAAACGTTGAGAGAGGAAGTGAGAGTGAGGGTGGAGCGGGTCAAGTACACGCTGGAGAGGAAGTAAAGTGTTGTAGTGTGGGACGTGCTGATGGTAACGAACTGTCTCACAATAACAATGAAACCTCAAAACCAGATAGAGACAACACAATGCATTTGTGTCTTTTTGGCGACAACGACAGTAATGACGATGTGTTTCGTGCGTCGGATGTGAAAGGTGGTGAAGACAAGGTAGGAGAGCTGGCGAGGGAAGACGAGAACAGTTCCACGCAAAGCGCGGTAGAAAACTATGAAGAATACGTAATCGGCACTGGATGGGTGAAGAAGAGGGTCTCCCAGATCGAGAGACAAATATCCGTCAAGAAGATGGAGGAACAGCAAAAGTTGGTAAGACAGAAGAGTACTACAACCACCTTGTCCTACAGGAGCGGCGACGGTAAGACCTCGACCTCATCAGATGACACAGCCACGCTCACCGAAGACCAAGATGAGGGAAGAAGAAGTGCAGATGAAGAAGTTGAAAACAATAAACCGCACGGTGAAGACGAGAACAAGTCCGGGGAGAGTGACGACAGCGACACCGAGGTAGAGGACGACGAAATGGGGGATGTCGTGTTGCTGAGGTCGAAGTCCAGGGGTCAGGTTGCCTCCTTGTACCGGTACTCTGACTGTCCCACCTCACTCTACCGGTACTCAGCCATTCGCCCTAGGACGGTCATCATCGGCTTGGGGTAGGTACCAGAATGGTGGCAGTTGGTGTGTAGTAGGTATCGTTGGGATGGTAAGTGGTCCAGAGCAGGTACCGCTATTCTCAAATGTGCGCACCTACATGTGCTAATCTCCATCTTTTTCTCAGCCCATCCTCCTAAACTGAAAGTACTTATAGTAACTATTTGGTGGAAAGCACCAATACTGTAAATAGTGATGGACCGCCAGAAACTTGAATTTTGCATTACTGAATTTGGAAAACCAGAAACATAAGACCTAGCCTAATGTCTTCTAGCAATCCTTGGCCTATCACACAATCCTGGCCCCAATATAGTACACGTGTGTGCTATACTAGGCCTAGGAATATTTGTTTGGTTTTTAGCTGTATTTTCACGGACTATAAAATTGAGTACAAAAAGAGGTTTACTGGTGTTCCATCAGTACGTATTGGTACTTTCCACTAAATAGTTACTATAAGTACTATCATTTATGATATCTTTCTTCCCCGTTCCTTCGTTCTTCCAGTGTGGTCGTGGCTAGTTCTCAGTTTTTCTTCACAACTCGATCCTCTAAGCTCAGGAATGAACCTTGTTTACATATCTTTGGACATTTTCTAGTTATGTGCTAGGTGGAGGTTACGTTTTTGGGGGCTGTATACTCCCAAGTTTGGCTCACGTAGGCTGCTTGATACCTGCATTATGTAGACTAGGCTATAGCTGTAGTAGGCAGTATGTAGTGTTCGACTGGCTCTGTTCTCCAAGTTCCTGATGGCTATCCAGACGTTGTTTGTCACAGGCGGCCGGTGTTGTTTTGGTAGTAAGTGGTCTAGGGTAAGAACACAAGAATAAGTGACTCAAAAGGCCTATATTGACCAATGCGGGTCAACGCCTACTTATAACCAACCCCACACTCTCGTGTATTTCTCCAAACCCATGTTTGAAGCATTCTAACAAGTTTGTTATTGCTAGTGCTTCCTAACTGTAAATACAGATCTGTAACCCTATTTCTGAACCAGTATTTACCCATTTTTTGTAAATCTAAACTTACCCATTTTTTCGTGTTTTGTATTTATATTTGTTACACCTTATTTATGTCGACTTATAAAAGGTAGTGTGTGGTGGTGGTGATCTCCCGTTTTCTATTAGTAGGTCCTCGGTTAGGTTAGTTACGGTCAATTTAAAACACCACTTTGTCCGTTGACAGCTGGAGATGACGTTCTGGGTAATGGGTCTAGGGCAAGTACCCATATAATAAGAAAACTTACGTAGCCAACAACGGCTGACAGTTCCTGCAAGAGGTACTATAGGTAACGGAGTCTGGTGACAAGTAATTAATGTTCCAGAGAATGAGTGTGTTGTTATGGGAGGTGGATAGTGAAGTTATAAAGAGGTAGTTTAGTCAAGCAAGGCAGCAGCAATAGGAGGGTGAAGAGCGCCCGGGACCGTCCATGCTGTGTGTGTGTCCTCATGCCATTTGTCTTCCTGTGTTTGGTGTCCTTTCTCTTGTTTGTTTAACCCATAACGTCATAACCCGTAGTGCGCTCGTTTTCACCCACGAATGTGTAGGGGAAAGTGAGATAGAACAGCAAAACAAGTTAGAAACCTGACCGGGAATCGAACAGGGTTCTTATTGCCCAAGCTTGCGGGGTTGAGCTTCGGCTCTTTGGTTCCGTCCTTCAATTTTCAATAGACTGGTGTACAGATTCCCGAGCCTACTGGGCTCTATCATATCTACATTTGAAACTGTATGGAGTCTGTGTGTATGCGTATGCACATATACATACACACAGGCTTCCTGCTCCCGACAAGCGAATTTTTATCATAACCGCGTCTCGCATTTGCCAGGTGTCGGGAGACATCATCCAAGAGATAAAAGATGAAAATAGTGAAATAAGGTTAAAGATATTAAAAATATGTAAATACCTCCGTCCATTCGTTACATCATTAACACAGATTACAAATGTAGACCTCTCCTTCCCTTTCCTGCTCCCCTTACTCTCGGCCCCCCCCCCCTCTTTTCTCTCATTATCTTGCCTACTGCCTTCCTCAGACCTCCCGTCCTGTATCACCTTCCTCAACAAACTTTGCACAAGTGAAGCGGCTTTGACAGACTTGGCAGCCCTTGAGACACTGTCGCAGCTCGAGGCGCATCGACTTGTTGAGGATTCCAGCAAACTTGGAGGTTGTACGAACGTCTGTTTGTACGAGTTTGTAATTGTTTTACTTTTAAGATCGATCATTTAGTCGTTTATTGCACTGACTACTCCGCCATGTTTATCATATTTACATTTAAAACTGTATATCAAGTTAACTTTCTACTCGATATTTTTATTTAGCATTTTAGGCCGAAGAAATAATCTGACAGTTCTGGGTCATTTGTGTATCTTGTTTCTATCCATGTTGCACCAGACTCTCGTTCCTCACTTTGAACACTGATTCTTTATCTGCTTTATCGTCTCCCCTTAAAATCGTTACCATGTTACCGCTGGCCTTTCTGCTCCAGTGTGGCGAGGTCCAGTTTCCTCACCCAGTCTTTATAATCCTTCACTCTGGAACTAATCTTGATGCGCATCACTGGACCTTCCCATATACTGTTTTGAGCGTTTTCATGTTGGTGTTCTGTGACAGGCTGCATACTCAGGGGTGAGATCACGTGTGCGTTTTATATAGCATTCTACAGACTTAGCTTGTCAAAGCTCCTTTAAGTTAGCTGCCAACTTAGAGTACACCGTCAGCAATATTATGTTTGTGTCACTGGCGTCAGGGTTGGGGTTGTGTCCACTCGTAGGTCATTCTTCTCTGCATCTGGGAGTCTGTACTCGACAGTTCCTATCCCAAGAACTCAGCAGTTATCCATTTCGAAGTTCAGTAGCTATTTTTCAGACTATCTGTGGAGTGTGTTGACGATTTTGCTTACACTTGAGCCTTTTCTTCTGAACCTCACCATGGTTGACTCAGCATCTGAAAACACTGACGTGAAATGAAGTCTTGACTGTCAGCTCGTGCGTGCCGACCCGTCCACGGCGCCTAGTACAGCTCTCTTTGCGGTAGTTAAGCTCCGTTCCCCCCGTCTCGACCTTCAATCGACTGGTATACAGGTTCCCCGCGTCTTCTGGTCAGTCTTGTCTATTTTGAAGCTGTGTTCGTGGGGGTATTCGTCTTCAACAAGAGAGTTTACAGAATCGATCAGTAACACGCCATATATTGCCAAACATCACATGAGAGAGAGATGGTGTTGCTCTTTTGTAAATAATGTTGTCTATGTCGTGCTGAACGATGCCAGTGACCACAAATGTGGAACAGAAGTTTAAATATTAGCTATGGGGCATAGACCCCATAGCCTAATATTTGGACTCGTCGGATTGCGAATCCAAAACGAAGATAGGCTCAAGGAAATAATAGTTGATGATGTGTGGTTGCAAAGTGCCAGTATTGCTGTGTAGGATTTATAATTGCAAATGTTCAGCAGTGTGTACTTGCGGGGTGTAGGTGGGAGAGTAAAGCTAGCTTGAGATTGATCAGATTGAATAATGCGGGGAAGATAAACTGACTAGTGATTGGTGAGGGGATACTTGCGGGAGGGAAATCTGGCTTGTGATTGGTGACGGAGATAGGTGCGGGGAAGAAAACGCTGGTTTGTGATTGGTGAGAGATGACTGGAGCTCGAGAGACGTTAACATTGATTGTTTGGCCAGGGTCAGTTGTGATCCGTAGGTAGTTGGGGTGTAGCCGGTGTGACGCACAAGTTAACCTGACAAATAGAGGCTGGTGAACTTCCTCATCGACCCCAACTGGAGTTGCTGGCATCGTCTCCAGGTAAACTCTAGATATAGATGCTGAGCTTCTGGTAAAGAATACGGGTTTATTGTCTTTTATAACATAAGTTCCTTGGGAAAACAAATCTGCTCATACGCGTGTTCCCCCCTCTCGTGTTTGTTGTTCTCTCCCTCGGGAAATCAAAAGACAGGCGGTGCCCACAGCATGGCTAGTTTTTAGATAGGACACTGTCTATCAGATTACCTGATAGACAGGATACAACGTGTCTGGTAAGTTACGTGATAGACCGCCACCAGCGAGCCTGGTTACTTGGTATCGGAACAGTCTCCACAAAACTTAATAGAAATAGCATTACCGCCTAAGTTATATTCACTGAGGTTCCGGCCTACATAGGAACATAAGAAGTAATATTGCAGTATGCAGTATTTACTCGGTGTGCTGCAGGAACACTGAGGTAGGCATACCGGGCCAAGCGAGACAGGTCCTATTTACACCCAACTGTTTTCACTCGTGTATTTATCTTACTTTTAGACCTTACGAAGGTATTTGTTTTAGTGATGCTTGTTGGCAGTTTGTTCCACTCATCTATGACTGTTGCCGAACTACTGCGCTCATATAAGCCTATTCTTTGCAAATCAAAATTCGTATAATTTACATGTCTTTTCTAGTTCCAGTCTGACAATAATTTTAACACCTCGATAATATTCTCTTTGTTGATATCTTTTATTCATGTGTACTTCAGTCATATTTATCCTTGTTCTAAACATTTCAATGGAATGTAACATGTGCTACAGTCCAGCTTCGCAAAAAAGTTTACACACGCTGGGATTAACATTGTCATCTTACGTCATATTTTTCAAATAAATTGTTAATTCTTTAGTCGTTGACATGGGCGGACGTGTTTCCCAAGGTTCTCTTGTTGTAAAATTAACGGGTTCAGTCTTACTGATGGCTTACGGCGAGATTTTTTCCCGGGCTTTGTTAGAGCTAATTCAGTTCAGTTACTCATTGTAGAAGTCAACAAAGTGAGAGATGAAGTACGTCAAGTGACGAAGTGCTTAGAGACATTGTGAGGAGGAGGAGCATACACATGCAGAAAAACTGCAACAAGATAGGGTATAACGATGCCATGTTGTAAGTCGAGCAGAATAGCTGGAAGCTCATTGGGATAATCAGAGCGAGGCCTCTCAGTAGGAAAACCATAAAGAGGTCAGCAGCAGAGTCATTCAGCCAGTTCTCTGTGCTGCAGGAGGCAAACTTACGCAGGGATCTAGCAGTAAGGCGACAAAACGGTTTCAACAAAAAGGTAGGATAATCATGGAAGTGATTATCAAATGATATGTAGACAGGTCTTTTTGTTGAAAGGATACACGTAGTAGAATTAGCTGCTCCATGCTTCCTCTCTGAGGTCAAGATCACCATAATAAATACCCACTTGTAAAGCCATGCTGCCAGTTATATATTACATTTTTTTCAAGGTCATTGCGAATTTAGCTTGCTATTAATGTCTCAAGTAGTTTGTCCGTAATGGATGTTAGGCTAATTAGGTGGGAATTAGAAAGCAGAAATCTCTCCTTTTTTACGAACTGGGCCCACTAGCCCACTCCATGCTGTTGAGATAACTTCACAGTTAATTTATATATTAGAGAGATTTATACATTAGAGAGATTTGTTAATGGGCTACGGAACTATTCATCAATTATTATTATTAGTGTAATGAAATTTGTAACGTTGGTGGATGCAGCAGAATACCTGGCACACTAATGAAAGCCTAGCCAATGTTGGGTTATTGTCCGTTATCACTGCTGCTTGCAGGTGACGTGTATTATGTTAGCCTTTCAAAGCCCCCTTCCCACAGTTGATTCTTTAAGACTGACAAATATCTTGTCAGGGCGTTCTAGTTTTTTTCTACCATCGATGCATTTACTTTACTTCCAAAGCTTTACATACGGCATATGCATAAACATGTTTCTTGAGAGGGAAGCAGCTCCTGAGTAAGATTGATGTTATCGGCGAGTCGCTCCTCAGGGTGTGTACAGAGACGCAGTTCTTCAGGGGATCCTTCGGTGACGGCGTGAGTGAGACTGAGAGTGAAGATGAGGAGGAGGATGCGGCGCCTATCACCGGCCTCACTACGCCCTCTACACCCCGCCCACAGTCTCGCCCACCATCCCCCTCCAGGACCTCACGCCCACATTCCCCACTCTCTGACATGGACACGGAGTCCAAGAGGAATTCTCAGGTACAGGAAGAAAGCGTGACAGTGTATATTAGTGAACCTTGCAGTAGCTGTCTGTATCACTGTGTGTGTGTGTGTGTGTGTGTGTGTGTGTGTGTGTGTGTGTGTGTGTGTGTGTGTGTGTGTGTGTGTGGTGTGTGTGTGTGTGTGTATGTGTTGAACATTGTAGTAGCTGTCTGTATCAGTGTGCGAGTACGTTCAACATTGCAGCAGATGCCTGAATTGTAAAAAAAACATTAATTATTGACATTTAATAACGTTGGAGATGTAATTTTCTTTATTTCTACTGGTCAGTATATATATACAGTATATTGTAAGTTCAAAACACATGATTTATGACAAAATAAAAAAAAAATGCGGGATTGTATATTATGTGTGTGCTAATTCGTCATCAGTAATTGATCAGTGTGTCGTGTCATGATGAAAGTTTTTTTTTTTAAATTTTCAAGTAACTGAAGTATTCATGTGACAACCAGAGTGCTGTCTGTTGTGTAGTTCCTGTGACACTGTACTAGCATCACTTAAATCATTTCTCAACCATTTTCCTCCAAGAAAACATTCACAATTACGTATACACTTCTAAGTATGCTTCATTACAAAGTATACGTAAATACTGAACAAAGTATTTACATACATAGGTATTCATTGAAGTATAGATCAATTTATGCAACACATTCCCGAAAGATCTTCGTAAAATGTCATTAGTTACATAAAGGTTTTTCTCTTCATGTGAACCAGTTTAACTTTGCTTCATGTGTGGGTGGTTCTGGCTCCTGCAGGCAGTGAGCACAGAACCCTCCGACCTCGAGGACCACAGCTCGCTAACCACCAGTGACCTCGACTCTTGCCATGACCTAGCTGCACTCGACGCACGCAAGGACAAGGCTTACAGGATCGCTCACGAACTCCTACATACAGAGAGGACGTACGTCAAGGTCCTCCACCTTATTGATCAGGTATGTTCTGAAAGTGTAATCACGTGTTCATTTTTTCGTGATTTACACACGCACGCACGCACGCACACACACACACACACACACACACACACACACACACACACACACACACACACACACACACACACACACACACACACACACACACACACACATTTATATATTTATATTTTGACGCAAATTTTGACACCTGAATCCAGGACATATCCTTGAACATACGGACGCATGGCAACCCTAATTTATAGTCTACTAATAACATCCTTTCCTCAGCTTTCTTAGCTGAACCTAACCATCCATTATGGCTTTTATCTTGCCACATTCTTGATACGTTTCTAATTTACTCTTAGTGGCTTTACAAAAGTAGAGGCAGTACTGTACCTTGCTGTGAGCTCATAGTTTGCTAGACATAGTTTTAAGACAGTTTTCTTAATTGTTGAATCTTCTTGAATAGTCCCAGAGTGGTGAGCAATTTGTAAGCTATTAGCAATATATATTGTTGGTCGTTACCGCGTTTTTCAACAGTAAAGAATTGTTAGACTACCTAAGCTCATTAGTCCAAATTGCCAAGATTATTAGACCCGTTCATATGTAGCCCCATCCATGTTGCACACATCTTGAACTATATTATTTGTGATCATTACAACTCCTTGTTATCACTGTTCTCTCGGTAAACCTTGAACTTCCTGTAGACCAACACATTGTACCAGCCTCTTTATATCTTGAGATATGTTGGTATGAGGGATAATTTTCTCCATTGTCCTTATGGAATCGAATCTTATCAAGTTTGCATTATGCTTTTATAATTTCTGTATACCAAAACATTATCATGGCGAAATAATATCCTCTAGAAACTCATTTGAGCCTGACCTTCAGGAGTTCCAGTTCCGGGTTGATCACGAAAATCGGGCGCACCACATGTTCCCACATGATGTCATTCCACACATGTTTTCAAATGTTAAGTCTATCTACAAGCTTCACCACGACTTTCTCCTGCCACAACTAGAGGAACGAATGGCTCAGTGGGAGCAGAATAGAAGAATTGGTGAGTCCTGATGGCAGTAAGATACAATGTTGTATTGTTCCATGCATCTTTGGAGAATAAACCATATTTCAGAATATGCAATGCTTTCTCAGAAGTACTGTAATTAGAGTACAGTATCATTTAAATAATAAACCCCTACCTAATCACCTCGCCTAACGATATTGCATTGCTTTGACAGTCCTGTTGAGCACTGCTATTTTGGATACAAGGCCATAGATTGCTGCTCTACACCCCATAGGCCAGAATCTGAATTATACAGTGCTAGATGCCGAACATCTGCCCGCATCCAAATACAATAGTTTAGAACTATAGAACTGTATCCACAATCCTAAGGAAGACATTTATTATTCAGATTATTCTTGAATTAATCCCATGAGTGCTGCACGTTCTTTGGTACAGGTTGCTTTCCAAAGATATAATGAATAATATTACTAAATGCTGATTTTTCAGTTTCTGATTTTTTCAGTTACAAAAAAAAAAGATGACTTTTATAAGGATATATAATTCTTCTTTAGAAGTTTCTTTTTTCTTTGAATGAACAAGAGTTAAAACGTAATAAAAATTTATAAAATATTATATAGGATAATATTACTTAATTTAAAGTACCGAATATAGAAAATCAATCCTTATGTTAGGCACCTCGGTATACACATTTCCCGGAATTAATGCAAATTAGTTATATTGTACATTGATTATTTACAGTTCTATGGTGGATTTACTTAATAAATCTTTGAATAATGCTTAATATTTGAAATTAATTTTAATACTGTAATGAATTTTTAATTACTGGTAATTCAGAAGTATATTTCTCTCTCTCACTTTTTTATAGTTAAAAATAAAGCTCACTAGGGCTGCCATTTGAAGTACTTAGTGAAACAGCAAGCAAGAGCTGTTATCCTACCTCAGCTCATCTGAAGCCTTCTCCTAGAGACTCATTTATTTCATGAGCTTATTATACACATTATTAGGAATAAACTTTAACTCTTAAGTAACAATCATATAAGAAACAGGAGGATCCCAAATCCAACTGTCTACCAGAGCCTTCAGGTGATCAGTTGAGCGAACAAGTTCGCTCTTTTTCTCACTGTATTGTACCTAGGCCAAATAAAAAGTTTATTTTAAATTGGTATGTAATGTTATTTAAACCTGTAAACATTTTGTTTCTTTTCAGGTGACATCATGAAAAGCTTTGCCCCTTTCTTGAAAATGTACACAGAGTACGTGCGTAATTTTGACAATGCTATGACTCTTATTAACCAGTGGCAAGCAAAGTGTCCCCGTTTTGCTGCTATCATGGATGAGATTCATGTAAGTGACCTTTTAGACATTTTTCAGAGACTTTTGCTTGTAACAAAATTAATTATTATATATTTTATTAAATTAGAGCAAGTATTGATGCATTCCATAACTTATTTGATGCTCATTTGTTATGATGTTTCATAATACTGTATACGTGGACAAGATTACAGTATCTTCTAGTAAAGTACATTACAGTCGGCTTGTCTCTAATCTTTTTAATTTAATTTTGTCTTCTTTCATTTACATGATTTACCCAAAAAAGTTTAAACACCACTTTGCATAGTTCTTTATATATAATAATAGTCTACGTTTTTTTTAATTTCTCCATTATTATTTATTTGGTGCAACGAAAACACATTTATGTGTCATGAATCCATGGAGCTGTGTGTTAACTCTGCATCTCCCTCACCAGTCTATGGAGGTCTGCGGTAATTTGACTCTCCAGCACCACATGCTCTCACCTGTGCAGCGGATCCCTCGTTACGAAATGCTACTAAAAGACTATTTAAAAAAATTACCTGAAGATTCTCCAGATCGCCATGATACAGAGAGTGAGTAATTAAATCAATTATTTATTGCACCTGATCACTTTTTGTCGAAGGTTGGAAGCCACATGCTTTGAGTTCGCCTCGCCCAACTTTACAAGATGAATCACGATGATGAATTATGACACTATGGGAGTGTCATAGGCCAATCAGGGTCATTCCCAGTCCCACACTGAAGAAATACTGTATTAGCATCTTTAAGCACCGTTCAGCGATTTTGATGAAATTGGGAGGATATTCTCGGAGCATATCCTTCTCCGAGCAACTGTATATATATTCCCTGGATATAAACTAATGTGGTGGGGTTTCAGTTTTAACTCATTGTGTGGTTCATTTACAGAATAATATATTAATTATAAAATGTCCATAATATGCCGTTTCCAGTAACACGTTATGATTAGTGTTATTACAACTTATAGTTAAATAAAAAAGTAATAGAATGTTTTTATTTTTTTTTCCAACAGAGGCTCTACATTTGGTATCCACAGCAGCTAATCATGCAAATGATGCCATGAAAAAGATTGATAAATTTGAGAAATTGCTAGAGATTCAAGAGAGTCTTGGAGGAGCGGAAGATCTTGTCTCTCCTACAAGAGAACTGATAAAAGAAGGCAAAATCATAAAGATCTCAGCTAGGTCAGGAGACCATCAGGAGAGATATATATTTTTGGTAAGGATATGTGTAGGAATCCAGAATATTACAACATGGTTCTGCAGTCCCAGTAATGAAGGGTATGTAGATTGGGTTATGGGACTCATCGTCTGTCTTCTCACCCTCACGAAAGTGGAATATGGGGTAATAATGATGGTTATAAATGTTAGAAGAAGAGAGAGTAACTCACGAGTTCTTCCATGCATAAATGGATGTACGGTAGTAAGTCTTCAATTCCTTGAAGGGAATCAGGATAGTACATGCTGGTCAACACCTAATTAAGTGAGAAGGCCAGATAAAATAATTCGTCTACATTATTGGCATAGGATAATTAATGCATTGTTAACACACTTTTCTCTCGGATTTGAATGAATTTTGGTGTCCAAGTTTGTTGTCCAAATTGTGTATTAAGTAGGTGATTGTTCAGAATGTTGTTGTTTATACAGTACTTGACACATGGCCAAAAGTATACCCCCTAAACAGTTGAGGAGTTTACTTTTTTTTACATCTGATCATTTACTTTTTATATAATCTGATGATTTGCTACGAAAGTGTTTTTTTCCTACAAAAATAATTGAAATGTAGTGATAGAATTCCATAGACTATTATTTTATTTTACCGGATGAACACGGTCACTTTTCAGCTTGGAGTAGTTTTAGACCAGTCTCATTAAGCTTATTTATTCTTTTTTTGAGACTCCTAGTGTATTCCATTAACTTGGGCTGTATTTCTATCGTGGGGCTCCCAGCATATTCCACCAACTTCTTGCCCCAACCTAGGCCACTAGAGATGGTGGTCATTGGGTAAATTCAGGTATTTCTTTAAATGGGTTCCTAACATAATGTGTTGAAGAGTACAGTAGTTCTATAGTGGGACTCCAGCCATGTTCCACTTAATTTATTTCTAAATCTCTTGGCATATTCCACATCAGAGAATAACTTGTTATTCATCGTTTTCATAAGTATAATCCATCATATGTTATTTAGCTTTTCAAGCTTGTAACATTTTTATATTTTTTGTAGCTGACAGATTTGTTACTGTTGTGTTCACCTCGGCTGATGGGAGGCCGAGTGATGAGTGGGCCTCAGTATCGTCTTCGTGCCAAGTACCACGTGGAGAACCTTATTGTGCAAGAGGGAGACAACCTTGAAACAGCTAACACTTTTTACATCAAAGACAACAATAAATCTGTGGAACTTTACACACAGTAAGTTAAAGAAGGAACTTTTAAATACTGTACAGTAGTATAGTGTATAGAAACTTGTACAGCATTTAAAAGGACAATACAAATATTATGAACATTATTAGATTCAGATTTTGAAATTCTTTCAGAACTAATACATTATTACGTATTGTATTTTTGTTTTTGTTTTATTGTAGATGTTTTTTCAGTGTTTCTCTTCAATATCTTGAGAATGCATCATTATATTACATTTAAATATTACTAAACATTACACATTTATTTACAAAGAGCACAGTACTGTACTTCTGATAATGTTACACAGTTTGTGTGTACATTTAGAATTTGTAGCCTTTATATTTACCTTTACTGTACCTTTACTCAACATCTTTGGGCATCTTACAGTTCTAAGAGATTAAGCGATAAGATAACAATAGTAATGAATTATGTTATTGTAATGTACAGGTTTTTATGAAAATTATAGCATATACAGTATAGTGTATTAGAGTTTGGAGAGTTTGCAGAAATCATAATACTATACAGTCATAATACAATACAGTAGTTAGGACAAGTGTGTAAATATTATAACAACAACAATGATAGAGTAAAATTAGTATACCCAGTAGTTTTGTTATCACTTAAAGTTTGTAATACTCTACATTAAATAATAACAAAACAGTACTGGGTATACTAATTTTACTCTATCATTGTTTTTATAATATTTAGCTACTAGTCTTAACTACTGTATTATATGTATTATGATTTAATCTGCAAACTCTCCAAACTCTAATATACTATACTGTATATACTGAACAATAATTATGATAAAACCCATAAATTAGAGTAACAACATAATTCATTACTAGTTATCTCTTCTCTTTATCTCTTAGACCTATGAGATGTCCAAAGATGCTGAGTAAAGGTAAAGGGGAATATAAAGGCTATAAATTCTGAACAATATATAAACAGATCTACCCATCAAATACAGTAGATCTAAGAAAAAGGGTTTCGTTGCACGGTTGGTGTGTTCTCAACTCACAATTAGGGATCCCGGGTGTGACATAAATGGTTAGGCAATCTTTCTTTCACTTAATGCCTCTGTTCACCTAGCAGTAACTAGATACCCAGAACTTCCCAGCCCAGCCCTAGATACCCAGAAGTTAGGCAACTGTTGAATTTACCTGAGGGTTACCGTCTATTTTAGTGGTCACAACAAGGACAGGAAGCTTGTGGCTTGTGATATCTTGGTGATACTACCCCTACCCCCACCTCATTTTTCCTGAGAATTGTTTACAAATGGATTTATAGCTTCAGTGGGTATGCTTGGATACAGTAGTTCCAATGTGGGCACACCAGAGATTTGTGCACTTGAATAACCACTTTCTTTTCCTTCAAGTCAAAAGTTTGTTTGACTATTTCTAGGGATTGGTTGGCTCTTTTTTTTCTTGCAGCTCCCACTTATTATGCAACTTTCAGTGACTGGTGGATTCTGCCTCCTAAGTCATTTTCTTCTTCAATCTGCTTCATGTTCGTGTTGATTTTATAATTATGGTGTGTATTGTTATGCCCTACATGCAAAGCCTTGCATCTTTCAACATTAAAGACCATTTGCCAGTCTTTTGATAATATGTGGAGTTCATGTAGATCTCTCTATAAGGGCTCAATATAATTTTTGCTTCCTATTTTACCATAAATCTTAGTGTCATCTACAAATTTGGTAATGTGGTTTATAATATTCTCATCTGTCATTGATGTACTGTATATGACAAAAAGTGTTGGTCCCAAGATGGAATTCATCACATTTTTCTTGTCCAATTCATTTCCATTTAGGACAACTATTTGCTTCCTTTGTTTTAACCATTGTTTAATCCATTCTAGTAAGTTACCATTTATTCCATGTGCTTGTAATTTCCTTGCCAGTCTCTCATGTGGTACCTTATCAAAAGCTTTAGAGAAGTCCATGTATACTACACCGGCTGGAAGTCCTTTGTCTGAATAGCTGGTTACCATCTCCAAAAATGTGAGCAGGTTAGTAAGGCAGGATTTATTTTTACCAAAACCGTGTTGCATTGATTTTGCTAGATTGTGTACTATGAGATGGTGAATGATTACCCTCTTTGGATTCTCTCTTTGAGCTTGTTTATATGCGAGGTTCGCTGATCGGTTGGTAGTTTTCTGCTGGGCTGTTTTTGCCTATTTTGAAGATAGGGAGTGACAGTTGCATATTTCCAATCTAAGGAGACTATCCCTTGGTCCAGAGATATTTGGAATAGCTGTTTTAGTTGGAGAGACAGTTCATCTACTAGTTTCTTTGACTTTGAATTGAATTGAATTCTGTTCACACCTGGGGCTTTTGAATCCTTTACGTTGTCATTGCTCTTCCTGATTGTTTTGTACATTATGGGAAATTCCCTCTTTCATTCTTTTTCCCTTGCTTCCAACATTTGAGTGGGTATTGGGATATTGTGTAAGCTTTCTAATCTTTACAACAGGACTTTGGAAGAGAAGGAGCAGTGGCTAGAGGCTTTTATTCGAGCAATCCATGAGACTTCTCAGCGGAAATCATCACTCAAGCTGCACTTTAACCCAGATCAGCGAATTGTGGATTTAGATCTCGGTCAGAAACAGCCCATGTTGATTCGTTCAGATTCGGTCAATAAGTGCATGGAATGTGGTAGTCAGTTCACCATGGTACGGCGGAAACATCACTGTCGGGCCTGCGGGGCGGTAAGTAGAGGGAAAATTTCTTCGTTATTTTAAAATTATTATAGTTTTTTTTATGAAATGGTCATAATACTGAAAGGAAGCCAAATATTTTCTTGTTTATTTGTATTTTCTTCCTCAAAAATCTTATTTTAATAAAGGAACTTTTAAAGACTTTCATTATCTGTAATTAGTGATAGAAAAAGAAGGAAATGTCCTTAAAAAGAGGGAAATGGTTAGGTTAACCTGAAATATTTTTGAGAAATATTATACCAAGGATTGTGGTTTGATTCCTCTGTAAGGGTGAACATGAATTCCCCTTACCTCTATGAGGGGCCAGGTTGTGGCCTCTGGTCTCCAATAGGCTGTTAGTGTGAAACTATCTCAAAGCAGCTACCAACAGGAAGCCACCAAGACATTCCCTCAGAAAGATCCGTTTCATTACACTCAATGCTGGAGATTTTTTCTTCAACTTCCACGTCATTTAATCGAAAGATACAATGCAAGTTTAAATTTAAATACAAAATAAGGTTGTCCTATATTAGAGTAAGAAAAAAGTTTTTAAGCAAAAAAAAAAAAAAAAAAAAAAAAAAAAAGATTGGGCGAGTAAATGGGTAGCTACCTTGCCATCTCTGGTTCCACCATATGAAAAAATAAATGAATTACAGAATTTTAAAAAGGTATGTATGGTACTGTTTACATTAGCGAGTGACTGGCCAATTAAGTCTTCTGAAAGACATTATTTTACGTAAACATTTAATTTAATAGTTTTTTATAATGTGCTATATTTTCTTATTTCTATTACTTAAGTTCTCTATTAATTCTGAATATTCTGTAGGTTGTGTGTAGCAAGTGTTCAAGCTTCAAAGCATCTCTGGCATATGAGAGTGGAAAAAGTGTTCGAGTGTGTCGGACATGCTATGCAACATTGCAAGAGCTTTCGTCATCCACGGCCACACCTTCTCCTGAGATTGATGATGCAGATGAATGTTCTTTGTACAGTACCAAAGAACCTTTAGATTTACCATTTAGAAATAGAGGAGTATTGGAGGTGAGATTTGCAGCTAAACACTAAAGTAAACAAAAAATTGGTGTCATATTGTTTTACAGTATTGAATTTACACTATAATAATATAAAATTAGTTATACTGTATAACTGTGTATTAGTTTAAGCCACCCAACCCAAACATCTGAAAATAAAGGAAGTGACACAAGCAGTATTAGAAGCAAGAGCAGGAATGTGAACCAAATTAAAAAGAAGTTTGTTGGTTTGTCAAAAGGCAAGTGTTATATGAAGAGGACAAAGGATATTAATGAGATTTTTTTTTGGTTCAAATTTAAGGTATAACCAAGGCGGGAGCAAGACTTGTAAATAAAAGAAATTTCAAAATGAAGAAGCTGATGGCTATTAATGTGTTATCCCTTAAATTTTTATTGACTGTGCTTCTTCTTAAGCTAAAAGAACTTTATCATCTTAAACCTGCTTCCAACACTAGTAACAGTGCTGTGCCTTCCCTTCATATTTGAACTAAACAATCTCAAATACCCACTGTCCTCTCAATGTAAGTCTCTCCTTTCCACAAACTAACAAACCTTATAGTAATCTGGTTCACACCAGCACCTGCTACCAATACTGTTGGTGTTTATTCTATCAACACATCTATCCAGAATGGACTGAAACGTCGTCTTTTCTCCATCTTCTGATGAGTGGTTTGGTCATCATATTCTATTCAGCTATGATATGCTAATTTTACTGATGTTTTCAGTGACCAAGTTACTCCTTCATCGACTGAATTCATATTGCATGCAAATTAAGATTCATAATTTCACAACACCAAGTGACTCACCTTCTTTGCTGGCACTGATCTCAGTAGTCTTAAAGGGGGGCATGGTTTGCACCCTGCCTTAACATTATTCACCACTAAATATGACATTACTCACATCCCTGTCACTAATATTTATATTGAATATCTTTTAAGTATGAAAATTAATTCAAATTTAATTTTGATTCCCTACTTAGGTTTCAGCAAAAACTGGTGGAGCAGTAATACAAGGGTTCCTTCAGCTCAAAACGCATCGAAAAACTTGGGTCAAGCGGTGGTTTGCTCTTCATACAGATTTTGTTCTTTACTCTTTCAAATGTGAAGCAGATGACCAGGCACTAACTGCTACTCCTGTACCTGGATTTACTGTTACACATTTACAGGTAAGCTTAGATACCTAACATGGATATCACTTACAAGGTTTTTCATATGTTTTAAATACTGTACTGTACTGTATAGTATCCACAAAGCAGAAAAGATAGAAATAATTTTTTGCATCAATTTATGGAAACTTCATACTTAAATCACACTGCTTCAAGAAGTTAGTAGAATCAAATAGGGTGGTCTAGGTAGTGCTGTATACAGCTAGGATGCATTAATCAGACTATAAAACCTTATTAAAGTGTAAGAGTACAGTGGAACGGCACACAAATGTCACGATTAATATATCCTTCTGTTGTATTTGAACTTTCTTTGTATTCAATCCAAGTTACTTCCACATGGTTTTACAAACATTTTTATGCCAAAATCATGAGTGAAAAGTAAATTTCTGAATAAAATAAGTTCTGTACAGTAAAATAAAAAAATAAACTGCATATGGTAAGGCAAGGTAAGGTACGGGTGCAGCAAACACCAATGTACTCGACCACGTTGATCATTAAAGGCATGCGATATACAAACATTTTAACACTTTACCCATGATCATGACCTTAGGAGTGTTTAAAGCATACTGTATGAAAGTTCCAAATTCTGGCTGGCTAATTAAGATGCACGTCTTGGTTTTGTATAACATGAGGGATATTGAATACTTTGCAGAGTTAAATGAATTAAAAAGAAAAGGCGAATAGATAGAACTTTTTGTCACAAAAAAAAGTCACCTTTCTGAGTGACTGTACCATTCATTTTTATCTGGTAAATTTTTTGTTTCACTTCCCTGTTTGCAGCTTGCTGTGTGTCACAATCAGGGGCTTGAAGACTGTTGTATTGTGATGAAAATGCTTTTTTGTGAATAAAACTGAAGAGAATGAGTTTGCTGTTAGGTGAAGACCTTGCTTGGTAGTCATGTGTCATCACAAAAAAAAAAAAAAATTGTGGCTTTGAGCTTACCATACAGCACATACGGTATATGGACTCCACCTGTCGATCATTGTGAACTGGACTGAGCTTGTCTTTAGTAACCCTAGCACCTTTAATGATCCTGCCGAGACCATTGGAAAAGTTCCCTATGTTGCCTGTGCCTACTGTGTCTTGTTTGATAGTCCATAGTCCTTTTCCAGAAGATGCAGCAGATCCTACCTCAGGAGGGGCAGCTGAATTGCACAGCTCGAAAAGATAGCTTTGAGTGAATGTGAAAAGCGTGTTATTTTAAGCATTCCTATTTATGCATAAAGTTTGAGGAGGGACAGGAATTATTATGGACACTAGCAAGTTTCCTGAATGGTCTAGGTCCTGAAGTGTGTAGATATGGCATAGTTGACTGGATGTTAGTAGGAATATAAAATTTGGAAATACATGCTAAAGTTTGTATTTTATATTTAGGGCACAAGAAATGAGAGTGGCATAAGTGAAAAAGAAAAGGAGAGAGCATTCAAGCTGCACCACTCTAAGAAGCATTATATATTCCAGGCAGCTTCAAAAGAAGAATCTCAGAGGTTTGTAATTAGGGAAATCTTATGCAGTTTGAATATGTATATTTTGAGTAGATTTGTTTATATTATTATTCTGTACATTATGCATTTATGACATGAATATAAAATATTTGACTTAGTCATCTGTCTTCAGGGTGCTAATATTAACTTATAGAACCTTCCCTCACAAATATTGTAAGTAAATTATTTGTTCTCATGATAAGTTTTTACTTGCCTATGAGTACAAAACAATAAGCCTTCATTTTACTTTTAAATGATTATAACCATCTTCCAACAGATGGGTGGCAGCTCTAAAGAAAGCATCGCAGGCAGAATTACCATCTCCGGTTCAATGACGAGAGCGGCAGGTGATCGAGGCCCTTATTACATGTCTGTGAGAACAACCATGAATACACAAACACATCTACACTACACTCACTCCCCATATTGAAGGATATTGGGCTTAAAGTGTTAATTTCTTCCCTCCCTTAAGTTTTACATTTTGTATAAAAAAAATGCTTTTAATAGGATTGTTTTATTGCTTGTAAAAAGATAAGGCATTTGGGGTTTTGCATTAGGTGGTGTAATTGTTAGATATGTATAGAACATATCCCATGATACATTACCAGACTTTTTCAATTGGCTGTAAATGCAACTTTTTCATGTTGTAGTTTGAGAGATTCATCATTTTTTGTGAACAGAATAAGTTAGTTCATTAAATAATAATGAACTATTCATTGTGTATTTCTGAATGAACAAAATTATTCAAGTTTTTGACCAATTTTTGTTTATGAAACTTGGTAAAGGGGCTAGGTGGTCACAAAGTATACATTTATTCTTGAATATGGTAAACATTCAATTACAGTTCATGGTCAGAATAAGTTTTTGTTTTTGAAAATAATAAGTAGATGGATGCTTTTGGGAAGAATAAAGTTAGTTAAGATGTTAGCCAGTTTAACTATTCACATTGGACCAAAGAGCCAGAGCTCAAGCCCCACAAGCTCAACTAGGTGAGTACATTTAGTGAGAATAGTTTTGAGCTCAGTTTCATAATTTTGGGTCACACCATCTCCATCCTGTGCCAAATTGGATGAAACTAGGACAAATTATAATGGCAGTGGCATCTGAACTTTAAAAATGATGGCCCATTGCAGAAATAAAGTGGGCAAATAGTGAATTACAGCCAGTTCTTGATATAACAAGCAATTTAGGGCTGAACCAGGGCAACTTACGGCTGATTAAATATATATGTGCTCAGGTATTTTTCTCATCCTCATATCAGACAAGGATACAAGCAATAGTTTACACTTGGGAAAATACTAGAAGGATTGGTCCCAAATCTAGATACAGAAATAGCACAACATGAGACCATAAGGCATAGCAGGATGTGTAAAATAGCCCCATTAAAAAGCAGAGGTGCAATAGTCATGATGAGCTCAATCTACATCAAAGGACCAAGACATTTCAACACTCTCTACACATATGGAGCATAACTGGCCAACCTCTCGCAGTGTTCAAAAGAGAACTTGATAAACACTTTCAACAGATACCTGATCAATCAAACCGTGACTCGTACATCAAGCAATGAGCAGCTGCTTCGAACATCTCGGTTGACGAGACCACCAACCAGCAGGTCTGGTCATCGACTGAGCCACAGGGGATGTTAATCCTCAAAATCATTGACAGATTGATTTCAGATTGAGGTTTGTTAAAACTAAGTAATTACTGGTACTGTACATTAATAATTATATACAGTAGTTACTTTGTGTCTGCATGCAGTCCAGAGGTCGAGCCTACTTAGCAAGGACATTGTTCTTTCATGCAGAAATTGTATGGCGCCCATATCTCAAGAAGCACACACAAATTAGAAAGGGTATAAAGACATGCTACTAAATGACTCCTAGAACATAAGAACATGAGCAGAGAGGCTGGAGGTGTTAAACATGCCAAGACTAGAAGAGAGATCAAATTGCCTTTTTTTTTTTTTCCTTCTATGTAGAAAATTGACAGGAATTGACAAAGATGACAAGTAGGAATTTTTAAAGCTTGCAACATCTTGAACAAGAGGTTAGACTCAAGCTTGGAAAGCAAAGGTGCAAAAAAGATGTCCAAAAGTTCTCTTTTTGTGAATAGTTGTAAACAATTTGAACAATGTTAAGTTAGGGGGATGCCAAAAACATCAACAGTTGCGAAGTCATGTGACAAAGATTATAGGAAAGATGGGACACCACAAGGATAACTCGCTTTCTTTAACTACACTAGGGTAATTACACACACTTGTATTCTTGCTCTTTCTGGATTGAGGCCCTAAAATTTCTAGTATGGGCCTTATGCTCTCTCATTTGGCTGAGCATGAGCATGATATAATGACCTTGAATGGACTACATAGTGTGAAATGCTCATAAATTTAACAGTATGGTGCATCAAATGAAACGATACATCAAGATTAGACTGTACTGCACTGACTGGATACTTTTCCTAAATGAATTTAGGATACAGTGACCTGTTTTTGCTAACAATTAAATACTGTAAATTTTCTTCTTTCCAATATCCATCTGTCTTCCATATTTAAGATAATTTCACAATTTTTTTTTTACTCAAGGTAAAGATTCATTATTCTGACCATTTTGTCAGCAATGCATTTTGACTTTCTGCCCAATTTAATGAAAATTGGTCATATTTCAAATTTTCAAAGACAAAGGCAAACCCATTGATAGTTCAGCCTATGACTTGCAAGTGAAAGTTAATGAAAGATTACCAGTAGTTATTTGCTTTATGCATCTTCATTTACCTATTTACCATTTTGGTTGATAAGCACTATATATGTAAGCAGAGACATGCAGGCCGACCACCGCAGAATTAGTATACAAAGAACAATATATAAAATCCTGCCTGAGCACGTCTATTACCAACTATTAATATATTGCTGTAACGAAGAATAAAAGCAGGATTAATGATTGACAATTGTCCATTGTTATGGGGATCACTCAAGATACATGAATGTTGTACTCTTGCAAAGAGAAACTGTTTCTAGAAAATTATACAGTAATGACAAAAATGTGACTAGGTAAATGCTTAAGAAAAATATTGTATTGCTGTATTTCAAAATTAAAAATTTTATGTGAATGAAGGTCAAGGTGCATATTGGTACTTGAAAGTGATCAGGTATGCATGTACAGTATTGTTTAGCTTGTGTTCCCATCAGTAGTGTGTGACTTTTCACAAGAGTGACATCAGTAATTGAAATGGTGTGATGCTAAAGAAACCTGTGATCAACCCCTCAGTCTTATAACTATGACCAGTGCTTATTGGTTAACTGCAACACCACGTTCCTCATTCTCATACTAAAAATAATAATGGCAGTAAAAATACTGTGCACTGTATTATGTCAATGTATTTTACACATCAGTCACTTTAAAAGATTATAAGTAATTTATGAAAAAGCAAAATGAATCTTTTTAAATAACTGTTTATAGTAGTAATGAAGTATTCATAAATAGGATAATATCTGAGTAGCACAAGTTTCTTAGTATTCTTGTTTAAACCTAAGCAATGGTAAATTAAGTTTAAGAACACAATTATGGTGTATACACTTGTATATACATGAATGGTGACTACTAAGGTACAAAGGGTAGATATTTAACACTTTTGGTCCATATATATTATAGTCCTCATAGAAATACACACATTCTCAAGCGTCCAATAAATAACGCACATGTTCTGTGACGTCCAGAATTAGAAACTAAGATAAATAGCTTGGCAGTGTCCATCTGTATGGAAGCAATAATCAAATCCACAATTTACAGTGTAAGACAAATTTAAGTGACCCATTATCTTTTTTACCACCATCTTTTAAAAAGAGCAGCATATTATTTACATAATAAATTCATGCTTAATTTACTCTCAAATATAATAATTTAACTGATTTGTCTTGATTTATTAGTTTAACAAAATGGCTACTGACATTTAAAAAATTTTCCTTAGCCATTCAGGAATTAAATTAAGCTATAATTTTATTAATATAAATAGTATTTTGTTACACTACTGTTTGTGATTCTTGTACTCTACATTCATGCTTTAACACCTTTACACTATCAGTAAACTGCTTCGTTAACACCTACAGTAACATATGTGAAAAACTGTAGTATGGGAGATACTATATATACATACGTACATACATACTGTACATATCCACACACACAATAAACCACATTTTAAAGATGAAAATGTTAGCAATATTTTCACCCTTCGAATGTGGTTTATTTCTACATTAATAAAATTACAGGACGGCCCAAATGTCACTTTATCGTATTATTATTTTATTAACAAAATCATATGCAAAAAAGTAAATTAAAAAATAGCTAAATTGATAAAAATACAAATTAAATTTGTTTAAACTAAAATGCATTTTTATAAATACTGTATTAGTTTTGTTTATTTTAATTCATTTAATTTTAATTATTTTTCCATGTTAATATTTACATATGATTGTTACTAAAGTCATACAGTATCATAAAGTAATATTTTGCCCACCTTATATATATGTATGCATGTGTGTATATACGTATATATTATGTATGTATATATAATATGTATGTTGTACCTAATAGGCCAAGTTACCTAACAAGCAGAATTTTCCCGAAATTATATACGGTACAGTATTTTCTAAAAAAGAATCTTATGGCATGATAGAGCTTTCAGTTATATTATTTATGATTTTAATATTTTTTTACTTAAAACTGACATAGAAATTCGTATGCAGACGATGAGACACAATAACGTGACTGAAGATATGATGATCAAACCACACACCAGAAGGTGAAGAGACGACGACGTTTCGATCCGTCCTGGACCATTCTCAAGTCGATTGTCCAGGACTTGTGCACAATCGACTTTATAATGGTCCAGGACGGACCGAAACCTCGTCGTCTCTTCATCTTCTGGTGTGGCTTGGTCATCATAACATAGGTTATGATAGATTAGGTTTGAACAAATTTCTAAGTCAATAATTCATGTTCTTAATATGATATTAACTGGAATAAACCAATTTGAAAAAATATTTGAAAATAATGAAAATCACTGCCTGTTAGGCAAATTGGGCCATGCATACTAGGCTAAGCAATGAGAGCCAAATTTTCAATGAATTTTAAGTTCTTCAAACATTTTTTCTTATGGATTGATGAAGTTTATTATTGTATTGTATGTAATTTTCATTTCTTTGGAGTCAAAATTAACATGCAAATTTTACCAAACTTAACCTAGCCCAACATAACTGTCAGTAATTGATGTGCCTAACATAATATATTATTATTGTTAGGAATGAACCAATTTGGAAAAAAAATATTTGAAAAATAAAAACAAATAAAAAAATGGAAAGAAATATTTGAAAATAGCATCAGTTGCTCTGCCTGTTAAGCAAATCAAGCCTTGCTTACTAGGCCAAGTAGTGTGATCCAAGCTATTAGGTATGAAATATATATTATAATGTGTGTAATGTAATAAATAAAAAGATACATTAGTGATGGATATGCTACCTAGCTTCTAGAGGTTTTTCTCCATGGCTGTTGTCATAGACTCTTGTGCACCAGACTGTCTTCCTTCCTTGCTTTATAATGCTTCATCATATTAAACATGACTGGGTTAGTGTTCCTTGTAGAACTTGAGAGGAAAATCAGCAATTGAGGCAGAATGCAAGTTGTGCAAGACCATACCATGTTGAATGTTGTCTGCTGTAATTGGTGAAATTTTTTCCTTTCGTTTAAAGGGAATGATTAAAGTTACCAGTAAAACAAAAAATATACGTTGGATTAGTTATCAACAAGCATTACACTTTTGAAAGGTTTGGTTACAGAGGTTATTAACTACTTCAGTAAGTAATGATAAAATTAATGTACTGGAGTTTGTTGAAAGTAAAAATTTACTTTTAATTCATGTCCAGCATACAGCAATATTGTTTATACTTTGTATTGGGATGGAGAAGTCTAGTAGTAGGAAACATATGTTGTTAGTTAGTAGCTTCTTGAACCTTGCCTATCATTTCACATTAGTTGTACTCACAGAGTGTGTAGGCTCGCTCACAAAGCCTCAACTACTAGTTATGTGTATAATGTACAGTATCATATATAACATCCTCACCTGACTGAATAATATGCATGCTTTATCCCATTTTCATTTGCTGTCTAACAGTAAAAGATGCACATATTATCTTCTATAAAGGCACAGAGTTTTTATCTGTTATAAAAGTTATTCCAGAATTTATTGCAGTAAATTGCTATTTAACATGTTCTGTAGGAATAGTATTGTATGACCAATTTATTGTAAAGATTTACTCTATGTAATGTGCCATAAAATTTTATTAATATTTAATGATATTGTCAACCATGTCCATGATATGTAATTATGAATATATACAGTATAGCATTAACAACAAGATGGACATATCAAATTAAATTTTCTTGTGAATCTCATATCAAGTATATGGCCTGATTTGTTTAGCACTGTTGTTATTTGTGCTGTTGCACAGATCTTATAAGATCTCCTTTAATCTCAAGTAGTGGAGTTTTGCACATATGTATATAAAGAAGTTAGCCCAGTGAGGACTGAATTTCCAGATAATTGGAACTTTTTGTAAAGTGTAAATTTTTTCTCATGAATGTGGCAAGCATAGTGTGATTATATTGTGATTTAAATAACTTTTACTTGCCTCTGTGCCATAAAAGTTATAAGGTACTGACTGTTAACTGTTCACCTCCTTGGTGACCAAAGACTATAGAAAGTGTTTATCAACTTCAGGAAGAAAATAACACCTTTGAGTGGAAGTTCTTCATGTAGTGTGTTGGATGATTCTAATATGAAAAATCTTCTGAAATGTGTTCACAACACTACTTGGTCTCAAAACTACCTTCATTGAAGTGATGTGAATATTCTGTATTGCAAGTTTGATGATTTGCATAAGTTGATGGTGCTATTTATTTGAAGACCAGTGTTGGTGCACTGGAACAGCTGGGCTTCATCCAGAATAGTTGAAATACATATAAAGTTAGTTTAGAGAGAAAGGAAACTTATTATGTAGATACGTGAATATGCTTATCATTAGTTATAGTGACCCATGTCCTAATACTGGCTATATAGATATTGTACAAGTTAAATCAGAGAATACTTACCAGACTTGCTAGTCAGTTTAGTACATAACTCACGGGCACTGCAAGACTTTTTGAAATGTTGAAAGTGTACAGTGCCATGTACTTTCCTCATAAAAATTACCCATTTTATGAGCTATAAGTAACATTAGCTTTTTCAAATTTTTATAGAGGAAAAAAAAGTCATTGCCATAAAGAGGAAAAGATTTTACTGTAGAAATTAGAATGCAGTAAATAGTATAATTATTGGTTATCATATTTTCTTTGTTAAATAAAGGAAGTGATAACCTCAAGTGGTATCTTTTTTATATAAATATAAAATGTGAAAATAGTTGTACTATATTAATTTTATTCTTCATTTTAGAGACCATGTGGAACGTTTCTATACGAGTTCCACATTGTCCTATAAAAAGAAGATGCATATTTTTTTCTATTAATGCCACATAAAGATAAGGGAATAGTAATCTTGATATCTTTTAAACTGTCAATTATTGTGAAACATGACATCATATGGGATAAGGGTTTTCCATGTGTCCCTCGCACAACTTTGAATCTGTAAGACTGACGTGACACAGTTGGGTATAGAAATGGAAACACATACTTCTAGATGACTATACTGTACATACATTAAGTAATTGCAGAGTATACATAGCATATCTTAAAAAAAATATTGTCCAACAAATATTGATAAATGTAGTGCAGATTGCTACTCCTAATAACCGTGTATGAATTATAAAACTTAAATCATAGTGATTTTGAAATGTAATTTCAGGTTTCCATTAAATATTAATTTCATATGTACAGCTAGCTCAATCAGGTGTAAGTTGTAAAAATGTTTGCTGTAGTAAATATATTGTAAATTAATTTTATTTATTCATATTTATATTCCAAGTTTAGTGTTTTAATTTTGATACTAAACATTATATTCATTGCAGTTTATTATAAAATGTACTGTATAAACATTTGGGAAATGTAATAATTGAAGACACCCCCAAAGTGTGTTGACTCTTAACAGGAGATATTGTTTGACTTTCAAGAACTTAGACTTATTAGATAAAGGGAAAATGGCAACCACCATACTCTTATTAGTGTTGCTGTACCTGCTGATGCTAATGTAAAATTAATGCTTTTATTAAAATTATAACTGGAATACAACATCAGACAAAATGATGGAACCCTTTACAGTCGATGGAACCCTTTACAGTCAGTAGGGTTTCTTCTCCCAAGTCCGCTAGATTTGATGACCATCAGTCGAGACCCACTTTTTCCCTCGCCTCTCTTCTTGTCTATAAAGATAGCTTGCTTGCAAGATTCTCTCTCAGTACACGCCCTCAATGTCCCCCTCATATTATTCCTACTTTGCCCAAGGAGAGTCCCTCTTGTGAAATTATATAAGGCCATGACCAGTATAAAAGTCTAGCCTTTTTACAGTAATGAAATGCCTTTTTCTTGATTGTCATCTTTTGCTACTCATGTCCCACTGGATTGAAGTCTACCAACAGCATTAGCCAATAAGTTATGTTTTCTGAACAGAGTTATGTGCCACCTCTACCCAGAGAAGCATTTTCATGGTGGAGCTCTATACGTACCTACATCATCTCATGGATGTGCATTCCTTTCTCAAATTTTGCCATCCATAACTAGATCCATAACCATTGAAGGTAGAATGCAGTTTGTTGATCACAATACCCAACCATATATTAAAGTTTACCTATTCATGTGGCCTTCCTCCTACCTTCACAACAGATAGGGAACACAACTCTTGACTAGGCTATGTATAGGTATTTAATGGAACAGAGACCTACACCTTACTGTCAAAACCTTTCTTCCACACTTACTCATAGATTGACCTAATTTTTGGAAACAAATACTGTATTGCTTTCCTATTGTCCTTTTGAGTTTGTCCCTTGGTCAATCCTAGATAGTCTCATGTTTGGCCCTTTTGATAATTGCTTGATTGATGACCAGTAAATTGATAGAAAATACTGTACATAATTTTTTTTTTTTTTTTTTTTTTTTTTTTTTTTACACTTGGTACCGTCATTGAAAAAGTTTGATTCTTTCAAAGTTAAAACTAATATGACCAAGTGAACCAATATGTTTAAATTTTAGTGTTAGGAAGACACATTCTCCCAATCCTGTTTCATCAACTGTTCTTTGTGTTTATCATTGCCGTTTCCAGTAATTTAACTCGTTATGTCTGTTCTCGGTTTTCCAGCCTATCTTGTCAGGGTTAAAGTTATCCATGAGTAAGTAATTAATTATTAAAAAGAGGGCACCAAATTATCCATGAGTAAATAGTCGATACATTCTTATCAATATTTTCATGGTTTGTCATACCATTGTCTAGACCTTTGTCATTTTAATGTTGTATATATCATTGTTACTGTTATCTTTGGCCCTCACATTAATTTTGTGCATGCACATTTTGTTCATTCATTTATTGTATATAGGGAGGGATTAGCTTTTGTGCCTACCTTTTAAATTCTGGGAATCTAGTGCAACATTTTATTTGCTTTCCTGTTTGTTATATCTACTTTTAAAGCTGTGGTTTAGATTGGCCTTGACCTACTCCATTTCATTTTGTGTGTTCATTACTCATACACTGAAGGAGTACATTACGTTCCTGTGGCTCGTTTTTCACTTCCGATGTGTGTCTACTAGTCTTTACTTCTCATTTGGAACAGTCGGTTCTTGTCCATTTCTCGGCATCTTTTGAACCAGTGTGCGCAGGTTCAACTCTTGACCCTGTCCACATAGATCATTTCATATATCCAGCATCAATTTTGTAGTAAATCCTTAGTACCATTTTCTTTAGTTAAATCCGTGCTGACAACAATGTAGAGAGAAAAAGTTAACTTCATTGAATGGAATGCTTTCAGACTTATGAAGTTTTACATTTCATAGTTAATGTCAGGAATATCACATGGTATATATAGTAATGCTCATGCAGTGTCCCCAACAGGGTATAAATCCAAAATTACAATAATTAAATTTCATAACCATTAGTAAATTTAATTGTATTGTTACCCAGTACAAATTATATGGCACTAAGCTTGGAATATAATAATAAAGATATGGGAGAATGTAATGGCATACTTTTGTTCAAAACCGATTCATATATAATGTACTAAAAGGTACATGTAGTAGTACAGAACTACTGTATAATTAATTACAGTACAGTATTATAGTTCTGTAATATCTATTCATTTTAGAATGTACTGTCACTTTCATAGTCTGTAATACGTTACAACTATTATTAGATAGTGGGTTGAATAAAAATTTATTGTACAGGTTACAGGAAGCAATTTTGAAGTTACACGTCTCTCTAAGAAAGGAGAAAGTCTAGAAGTAATAATACCCAAATATTTGAAGGAAAAACATTTTGTTCAGGAATATTTTGTCTATGATCTAACAGGTCCTTTGTTAGTTGGCCGAGGTGAACTTGTACCGAGTTTGTATCCTGGCACAAGACAATATGACGATTCCAAAAAAATGAACTAAAACAAAAATTTTGTAGTGTTTATTATTTCCTTATTTTAATAATACCCTCTACCTGTCACTTTCATGCCCTCCCCTTTGTGAAATTCAAATGGACCATTATGTCTTAATTGAATCATGGTATAAAATTCCAGTACTGATGTATGTTGTAAATAAAATTAAAAGTTAGTAATTATCAAAAGAAAGCATCAAATCAAGAAGACTATAGCACCATCTACATCGATATTCAAAAGGCAAAAAGTATCGCTCGAGATACAGTTTGAGAATAAAAGGACAAGTCTGATACCTTTGATATCGTTCATCTTGCCAAGGACTCCAACGAGGGACAAATGGTCCCTAGGGGACAAGGAAAGCAAGACATACAATCCCCAAAATTTGGATATTTTAAAGGTGCACAACTAAGTGGGACATAATAGCTATGACAAAGCTAAAGAAATTTAAGATGCAAGAATTTAAGAAAATTTAAATTTAAGAAAAGAGCACGGAACTAGGTAATATCAGGATCGGAGAAATCAGGGTTGACGGAATAGGTAAAGGCAGCAGAGGGCATAGTCAACAAAGTCCAGTGAGGAAGAATGCGCAGTCAAAGAAGGGACAAATGACTGTGTACTCTGGAGCAGGAGCAGCATCAGAGGAAGGAACAAAAAGCAACAGGAACTCCCATAGTGAGGTTCAGAGGGCTCTGCTTTCGAGACTGGAGGAGATTCAGAACAAGAACGCAGGAGTGAGGTGGAGACAGAACTAGTACCTTCTTATCCACTGGAGAGGGACCAGGCTTATGTTTCTGCAACACACAGGTGTGGTAGTGTCAAAATACAATGAAATAGCTGCAATCATTTCAAGCAGGGAGGGAGAAAAATAGCGGGAGACAAGAGTGAGGAATGGAAATCCCGGATAATTTATATGCTAGGAAGGGCCAAGAGACAGAGGGATGGATTGAGGAGGATGCCCACAGTTGATAAAGAGCAGCAAAAAAGCAACACAAAAACAATTGACAGGGGAAGACTGGGAAGGTGGAGCAGTAACGCTGGCCATTGACACCAAAGGAATACAGACGGTGTCATCACCGAGACCGAGGAAGGAACGGAACATTGTGGAGGTACAGTATTGGGGTTCAGGGTTTGAAAATGGTTGTTGACCAAAAAGATGGAGGTAGAGAAGTGCAATGAAATGCAGTGGCATGAGTCATGCTAATAAAGGAAGAAATGTGACAGACCTGGCATCATGCCTCAAGGAAAGATGTGTGATCATGGTGTTTAAGGTGGACGATGGGTTGTTTAAATTTATAAAGTAGGCAAAAAACATGAAAAAGAAATGGGACGGGCATTTTGCAATTGATGCAGTGAGCATCATTCCAACCGAGACTGGTCAAAAACACCACACATGGGATTAAAAGATACCTTGATACTACATTTCAAGACTCCATGCCTAAATTTCCTAGCACCTATTGCAGAGGTGTGGAATGGTGACCGAAGATGGTAGGGCCAAATTATGAAAAGTTTCCTTGACGACTTTAAGGGAACACTGACTACAAAGGCTCCAAGTTAATGTGTCTACCTGGAGAACAGGATTACCTGGGTTGAGAAAGTTATACTTTATATCCTCATGGTAGTCCTTAGAGGAAACCGACCTCATCAGATGTGCGAAGTCGGCTCACACCTACAGTCTTATACACAGGTTAACAGCTGACACATCTTCCAGTAAGAAGTCTTGGTCTGATTATGACACGTTCTCTGTCCCCACATCTCAATGTTGGACAGAAGAACCATGCCAATGCTGGCAGTCGATAGAATATTCATAGAGACCCAAACTGGGGACTCCTCAATGCGAGATAGGGCAATTAGTCGAGTGGCCACCTCCTAACAGTGGACCTCAATGATGCGGGTGCCAGTCTGGGTGGCATTAAACTTAACACAAGCATCTACAAAGTCTATATAGTGTATGGCCACATTGTCAGTATATGTAAGGTCATCATAGCCCACATCAAAATATTTAGGCCACGTATTGGAGCCAAACAAATCATGTAATGTAGCAGAGGATGCAGGAAGCATGTTCAATAATATCACCTTGGACCTCCCAGGAGGCAGGGTATAAAAGGCATTGTAGTAACCATCAAAGATGGAGTCACCCCAGGTGACTTGGAGGTCAACCCTGATAAGGAAGAGGCTGTGGAAGGAAAAGAATCAGAATGTGTAGCTCAAGAGAAAACCTGGTCGGGGCCCACCATATATGGAGCCCAGTCTTCCATCATGGTCTGACTTAGACATGATCACCCACCACAAATGTCTGAGGAGGAAAGATTTGGTCAGAGGTAACAGACAGATGCATTGGGACTTCACTGCCATGCACACACGTTTCATGTCATGGATGGAGAAATACTAAAGAAATTGTTCACGGCCTTTGAGAGACCAAGGTTGCAATAAGCAGCAGTTGTATGGTGTCCATATCTCAAGAAGAACATCATCAAACTGGAAAAGGTGCAAAGACATGCAACTAGATGGCTTCCAGAACTGAAAGACAGCTACAAGGAGAGGTTAGAAGCATTAAATATGCCATAGATATAAGATAGTGATAATTTCTCTGCTTTTTCCTTCTATGTACAAAATAGAGCAGTGAAAAATACAATCAACAAAATTGATAAAGAAAAATTCTTGAAACCTAGGACTTCAAGAACAAGGTCATAGATTTAATCTAAGTAAACAATGCTGCTGTAAATATAAAAAAAAAGTCACTCGCAGAGTGGTAGACGGTTGGAACACGTGAGAGGGCGGTAGAGGCCAAAACCATCAGTACTTTCAAATTGTTATATGGCAGAGTGCTGGAAAGGTAGGAAACCACGAGCGTAGTTCTCATCCTCTAACAATACTTTGGTAATAATTAGGAAATTACCTACCATGAAGCTGAACAAGAGAAGGCATAAGCATGGGGGGGGGGGCAACCTCAGGAGTGACAGACAGTATACGTGGATCACAATTAAAGGGTCTGAAGAGTATCCCTGGGACTGATAGGGATACCAATGCCCTCTAGGCCAGATGTCTAACTAGGCATGCCGATCAATTCAGGTGAATCACACAACCTCCTATTTTAACCCCTGTCTCTCCACCAAAGAAACATGTAGACTCAATACACAGAGTAATCACACTGTGATGTATCAATGAGAAAATCCGTAGGTTCCAACCCCTCATTCACAACTACTATGGATTTTCTCGTGTAGACTCAACAACCAGATGAAGGAACAAAAGGGAATGCATGGCTCTCCATGTTCAGTGAACACACGAGGGAGTTATATGCTTGTGCACCATCACAGTAGGCAGGAGAGTGGAGGAGCAGCTACACCCACCTATCCGAGAGGGGTGCACAAAAGCCCCCCTCACCACGTATATGAACCACTTGTTGAGGGGGGAAAAATTCCATAAAATTCAAACATTCTCATACATTTTTTATACAAGTAAAATATGAAACATTTTGTTAAAAATTTTGTTCAATGTCGTTATAACTGTACAGACGTATTGCTAAAATTTCTGAAATATTTAAAATGGAATTTTAAGCCATAATTTTTAGATTCCAAGAGCATCTTCTGCAAATACTTGTACAGTATTATGAAAAGGGGGTGAAAAACAATAAGGTTATGATATTATAGTTTTTATATCTGCTTTATTATAATCAATATGCATTGCTTTTGTTACAATTATCCAACTCACAAATGCACAAATTTACCCTATTATACTTATTTTGAATACTGTATTACTAACAAAATTTCCACGAACTCTTTAGTTAAGTTTATGGGGATTTATTAAATGTTAAACTTAACAAACTGTTTACTAGCACAAATTCCTTCATCACTCAATTTTTTTTCTTTTGGTGTAATTGTTTGTATCAATACTGTACAGTTCACAATTATTTAGTTTGATTTTAAACTTAACAGCGTGTTGATAAAATAAAATAATTTATTTTATCAACATTTCACATTATAATGTTACGAATAATATATGCATAATATACTGAATAGTTACCTTTTATTTGAGGGTACCGACTTTGTAACATTTTCTTTTTCCATATAAATGAATTTCAGTTCTTGATCATGCCAAGAAGCACAGTGACGGCCTTAGCCACGCTGTCATGAATTTCATGAAACTTGCCTTCATACATGAATGCTGGCGAGCTCACAACTTTATTAACTTCATCAACTGCTACTTCATCCACAGCCTGCATTCAAAGATAATTAGAAAGATATGAAAATAGTTTGCTAAGTGTGATTCCTCACTCTCAAATTCACTTATTGAACTTAGGCACTAAAATTATACTACAATTTTTCTCAGTTCAAATTTTTTTTTTTTTTTTTCAATTAAAGCCCTATTTAAATAACTGAAATCCTTTGTTGTTTCTTAAGTGTGCTGGGTATTTTAATGTAAACTCTCTAAAATTCATGCAACAATGCTTTGAAGATATTTGCCCTTCTTGAAGTGTACTACATTTTGCCAAGACTATGGCTTAAAATCAAATGAACATAGAAAAAACATCTCTCAAGTTACAATTATCAAAGCACAACAATACAGTATGTACTGTAAGTCTCCAGTTTGTAAAGTCATTTTGGACATTACTGTGGATGCCTATACAGGAGCAGAATGATACGAGCTTATCTATAGTGAATGAATGCGACTCAATGGGCATTTTATTAAAACATTTGGTGTGATGGGACAGTCAGGAAGCAAAAATTTATGATCCTAAATAGGACATTTTTCTTGGAGATTAAAAACTAAGCAGAATATTACAATTTGGATAGTAAGGGGCAGTTTTCTGTTCCATTAAGTGCCCTTAAGGATAAGAATGTTTCCATATTTTTCACTTGTATTCCCATGGCCTTCCCCTTATCACATTTCATGTCACACTATTATTACAGCAACTGTAGCCAAACCTCTATCTTTTCAATATTACAAAGTAATTATCAAAAGGAGACACCAAGCCAGAAACACTATGTAATGCCATCAATGGTGGGATTTTCAAAAAGTGCTAAAGCTTATTAAAGGTCCCAATACAGTAACAAAAGTGCATAAGGTGAGCGATATCAACGGAATCAGATTCACCAAGGATTACATCATGGGACAAGAAACCCATTGGGACATCTGGAAAGCAGAACCTACAATCCTAAAAATAAAGACATTCCACAATGAGGTGCAAAATTTTAAGTTGGACAATGCAGTTTAGACATATAGGGCATCATTCCATTAAATGTTCATGAGTTAAGGACATGTCCCAGACACGCAGCCTAGTCAGAGCCATTTCCCACCACCTATTATGGGGGTAGGAGGAAAGCCTTGGAATAGGGTACCTTACCTTACCTTGAGGTTACTGTGAGATGATTTTGGGGCTTAGCGTCCCGGTCCTCGACCAGGCCTTCTCGTTGCTGGACTGGTCAACCAGGCTGTTGGATGCGGCTGTTCGCAACCCGACATGTGATTCACAGCCTGGTTGATCAGGTATCCTTTGGAGGTCCTTATCAAGTTCTTTCGTGAACACTGTGAGGGGTCGGCCAGTTATGCCCCCTTGTGTGCAGTGGCAGCGTGTTGAACAGTCTCGGTGGGCCTCTGATGTTGATAGTTCTCTCTCTCTCAGAGTACCTATTACACATCTGCTTTTCAATGGGGGTATTCTGCACATCTGCTGTTAGTCAGGAAATTGTAGATCCATCTGCCTATTTTTCTGGTACTTCCTTTTGAACACATTTTGTGTGCAATAACACTACCTTTTGAACACATTTTGTGTGCAATTACACTATGGTCACATTTATCGAAGGCTTTTGCAAACTCTGTGTAAATTACATCAACATTTTGTTTGTCTTCCAAGTCATCTAATGCCATGTCATAGTATTCGTGCAACTGTGATTGGCAAGAGTGCCCTGTCCTAAAACCATGTTGTCCAGGTTATGGAGATGCTACGATTCCATGTATTTTGTGATCTTACTTCTTAGCACTCGTTCAAAGATTTTTATGATGTGTGAGGTTAGTGCTACCAGTCTAATTTTTTGCCTCTGCATTATTTCCTCGTTTATGGAGTGATGCTATCTCTGCTGTTTTCAGTATGTCAGGGATAACACCAGTATCTAGGCTTTGTCTCCAAAGAATATGAAGGGCCTGCAAGTGGTTTTTTACAGTTCTTGATAAATATAGAGCTCCAAGAATCAGGGCCTGGTGCAGAATACATAGGCGTACTGTCTATGCTTTCTTCAAAATCCAATGGGGATAGGGTGACATCTGATATATGATTTGATGTTGGTATCACATCCATGAAGAATTCATTTTGATTATTAATATTCAGTGTGTTTAGTGGCTCACTGAAAACAGTCATATTGATTCCTCAGTATTTCGCTCATTTCTTTGTCATCATCAGTGAACATTCCATATCCCTTTCACAGGGGTCCGATACTAGATGTGATTTTTTATCTTTATTTTGCATAGGAGAAAAAATCATTTGGATTTCTGTTTCACTAATGGCCTTTAGCTCTCTGCCTCTCCTGGGTTTTATGTTATTCTTGTAGCTTTAGTTCAGTTATTTCTGTTTCTCTACCTAGCCTTCTTTGCCGTTCTTGAGATAGGGTATGACTAAAGTTATTCTGCGATTCATTTTCTTTCCCTATAGAGAAGGCTTTTCCCATTCCAATCTGCACCTCTTCCTCTTTTTTCTTAGGGTATGTGGTTTGAGCATACAGTATTTCTAGTGCTACTGTGCCCAGGCATTGTGCCCAGGCACTGTGCCCAGGCAGTACTGTTTTTTCCAGGCATTGGTTCAGGTTTGCATTTTCTAGTTGTTCTTCTCAGCTTATTTCTGTGAGGTCTTGGTTTATTTGCTCCTAGTTTACCTGTTTGAAATTGAAATTGGCTAAATTCTCCACTGGCATTCAGGACTGGTTTTGCAGGTCTATTCCCCATGCTTGTCAGAACTTCAATTAAGTTGTGATCCAAGTAACAGGTATTTGTAGTCATTATGCTCCTGATCAATTCATCATTATTAGTGAAAATGAGGTCCAGCGTGTTTTCCTTTCTAGTTGGTTCTACTATTTGCTGGTTTAAGGCAAATCTGTCGTACATCTGCAACAAGTCATTTGTATGCGACTGTTCATTTAGGCTGCTTCCCAGAATTCTCTGACATAACTGTATTAGTTAGGGTCTTCCATTTCAGATGCCATAGGTTGAAGTCTCCAAAAAGGATGATGTTTGGGGCTGGATTTGCGAGGTTTTCTAAACAGCGTTCTATTTTCATTAGTTGGTCTGGTCGCACCTTAGTGAGCGGTTGCCATCATAACTTGACGCCAGGGTAATTGAAATTAGTGTATCACATATTAATTTTAGTTATCACCCGGTTTTTATAAATTATGTAAATATGGTTATAATATTTCTATATAATTGTAATGGTCTTAACCTAGACCCATAAAAAATATTATTATATTACCATCAAATTACAATTTGTTGTTTTCCACATCGTAATTTGATGTAAAAATCCACATCATCAGAGTAAGATGTACAGTATTAAAATCATAGCAGCTTGCAAAATTGATGCGATATTCCATTTTCTATCATGGTTCCTTAGTTAGGCTAGGTTTCGGGAATTTAGTATATATTTTAGCGACGTTGTGAATGATTAAGGGGACTGCCGATTCCGATTCCAAATTGTGCAAGATATGGAATCATATTGCCAATGGAATACATTGTCCAAACAATATTGGAATGGTATTTTGTGGAACCAGTCCACCAGCGAAACATTTTGGCACAAATCTAACAAAAGTTTGAAGTCAGTATGGCGAGGCTTTTCAGATGCTGTCGACATTGATGCCGAGATACTGGGAGATGCTTTCCCAGATGCTTCATGGAAAAAAAAAAGCAAGATGGTATTCCTACTGATGATACTGCACCACTGTACCTAACTGTTGTTGATGGCTCATTTATTATGCATATACTATAAAATACTGTTTCATAGAAGTTGGTGATCTTACCTTTTCAACTGGATTAGCCCCCAGTGCCTTGGCTGCCTCAATTGAGCCTGCATATGGCCACTTTCCAGATCCATCATCTAGAATTAAAATAATTAGTGCAAAACTTTGCTTCGAGGGACAAGCTACCCATTTTCACTTAACCCCCCTAATTGCACAGGCTATATTTATGTATTCATTGTCATGTACAAGAAAAAAATTGTACTGAAAAAGAATTTTTTTTCTTTGGACAGTGTTAATTTGCATCCAGGAATTATGAAAATCCAAGTGAAAAGTTTCTACCTATCATGGTTTAGGGAAATAGTTGTATGTAGGCAGGGAAAAGTTGTGTGGATTTGGTAGATTGGAGGCCAGGTAACTGGCTCACACAGCCAGGTGGCCGTCAAGATGCGAGGTGCCATGAGGGTATAACTCGGTTCATTTATTTTCATCGTTTCTCACTTTATTAAAAATTTTTGCACTCACATGTTTTGTGCATAAATAGTGGTATTCATTATGTATAATTTGGAAATATACATATGCACAGAAGCATAGGATATAAATATAGTCACACCCTGTATTCATTCATACTAACATTTATATTAGCCTAAAATTTTATAACTGCGCATAACACACATTTTGCATGCAAATATCACCGATTTGCCACTTTTTAAATGTTATGGTGTGTATTACTGCCAGTGAAACTGGTGAAGAGGCAGAGAACAACAAACTTCACTAAAGGGAAACATGTTTTTCATTTTGGTTAAACTTTTAAAAAGAAAACTAAATTATATTTTCACATTTGCCAGTAATAATTGTAGCATTCACAACGGTGAATAAACTTTACCAAGAAAAAACATTTACATAAACTATCACCAAGCTCATAAATCAACTCCAAAATGCTTAATTACACAGTATATAGTACAATTCTTACACAAATCATGATTCATACATTAATGTCAATGAATTTTAGAAATGGATGTTTGGTGCAAGTGTGGGGGGGGGGTCAGTTTAAGTGACATTTTTAGTAGTTATAATTCTACTAGAAGGATAACCTTTGATTAGGCCACAAATAGATGGCAAATAGATGGATGTCCAGGTGGCAATTTTGATTGCAGACGGCCTGGTTGAACATTACAAAATCTACAAACTTCTTTCCAAGCAACTCAAAAACACTCCGCACCCTTTCCCCAACAGAATGACCAAAATCTTCTGGCTGTGGTCATTTTTGCAGAGAAAGGGTTAAACTCTTTAAGTGCCTGTCAAAATCTTAGGATGTTCACCAGGACTACATATAATGGTTAACATCCGAAGATGTTCGATTGTTTTGCCCTAGGTGTTTGTATACCAGTTGATGCCATATATTTCCAAAAGTATAAAAAAAAATGTCCTGACATCACCCACGAAGCATGTTTAGTAGTCTCTTCTTCAGTGTTAAGTCAAACAAGCTTGCAGATGAGCATCCTTCAACCTTCCTTGGGGACATTGCCCAAGACTACAGTACTTGAGGCTAAAGTAACATTTGTAAATATAATGCATTCTCCACTAATGCACTACAAAATCTGTGAACTAAAAAAAAAAATTTTTAGCAATACCCTACCTGCCTTGCCAAGAGTAACAGTTACCCCACTGCCACCAAGAACTTTAGCTGCTATCATGGGAGCAATACAGCAGAAACCAAGGGGCTTCTTGGCACTATGGAAATCCTTTATTACTCGCTCCACTTCACTGTTGACAGTCATGTCTGCTCCTTTCACTGCAAAGTCAGACCTGTAAAAATTTTAAACTCCTAAAGATCTACTTAAAACATAATACTCTGGAATTATTATGTGAGGAGCAAGTTCCTGGCACTAAAAATGTTTCAGGAAAAAAAAAAAAAATATCAAGTTCACTGCCTGGAAGCAGTTCTGGTGGTAAAGATGCGAGAAAATCCACCAGGCAGTTTACAAATGGTAAACTGATAAAACAAAACACTTATGTTACTCACAGAAATCACAATAGCGTGATGCATTTGTTTCAAAACACTTGTGTAATATTTTATATCATATTTTATCTGATATAAATGATATATTGATATAAATGGTATAATATTTTATATCAGGATAACTATTGCATACTGTATATATTATTTGCTTGTATAAACTTGAGTTTACTTTCCTAAAACCAGCTACACTCTTTGTACAATATTTTTTTAAATACTGTACAGTACAGCAATGGTTTCATCATTGACAATTGTTACTCTGTAAACCTAAGACGTATTACTGTATACATTAGTACAGAATAGAAATTTATCAAGCTATTAAAAATGATAAAATACTTGCAGATTTTTAGCTGCTCCAAATCCACCTGGAAAGAAAACAGCATCTGCAACCCCACTTGTCAACTCTGTGATAGGCTTAATATTACCACGAGCAATGCGGGCTGATTCGACTAGAACATTACGAGATTCATTTTCTGCCGGTGCACCCTGAAAAACACATTAAATGAACATAATACTTCTATACAGATAGATATTTTACAATAAAGCATCCAAAATTCAAAAACGTTTTGGGGCCAAACCCATTGCTAATTTATCTATTTTCAGATTCTAGACAGTATGTGTTAGCCCCCAGCCCATCCCCTACAATAGCTTAACTTTACCTGTGTTTTAATCTTTTACTTAATCTACAGTACTTAAAAATCATTGAGAATATCAATATACAAGTATTATTACTGGTAAAATCATTAGAGCAAAACAGAGCAAGTACTGTACAGTACTGCATTTCTATAAATAGTAAAGAACAGTGGTATATTGTATCTACAAGCAATATTAAGCACAAATTAATGTACGAGCCCATAACTCGCTCTCACCTTAGTGTGATCTACAACATGCATCTGCAAAGCGTCGGGAGCATAACAAACGACATCTGCCCCACCGCGTGTCAAGCTAACCAGAGCAGCCGACGCTTCATGAATTTCAGAGCCATCATATACCCCAGAACCAGAGAGCACCTGTCAAGATAGGCAACACTCTAAACATAAATTTAATACCAAAATAAAATAATTACAAGGTATACAGTAAAGGCAATTGCAAAATATTATCGTTTAATTTTGCGAGCACCATGACTAATAGGGTATTGGGCAGGGTTGGGTTACTGGCCATCAAAATGAATCCCCCACAGATTCACGGGCACTACACGGGCATTTTGTACTCACCTAGTTGTACTCACCTAGTTGTGCTTGCGGGGGTTGAGCTCTGGCTCTTTGGTCCCGCCTCTCAACTGTCAATCAACTGGTGTACAGATTCCTGAGCCTACTGGGCTCTATCATACCTACATTTGAAACTGTGTATGGAGTCAGCCTCCACCACATCACTTCCTAGTGCATTCCATTTATTAACTACTCTGACACTGAAAAAATTCTTTCTAACGTCTCTGTGGCTCATCTGGGTACTAAGTTTCCACCTGTGTCCCCTTGTTCGTGTCCCACCCGTGCTGAAGAGTTTGTCTTTGTCCACCCTGTCAATTCCCCTGAGAATTTTGTAGGTGGTTATCATGTCTCCCCTTACTCTTCTGTTTTCCAGGGATGTGAGGTTCAGCTCCTTTAGCCTTTCCTCGTAGCTCAATCCTCTCAGTTCCGGGACGAGCCTGGTGGCATACCGCTGAATCTTCTCTAACTTTGTCTTGTGTTTAACTAGGTATGGACTCCAGGCTGGAGCTGCATACTCCAGGATTGGTCTTACATAAGTGGTATACAGGGTTCTGAAAGATTCCTTACACAAGTTTCTGAAGGCAGTTCTTATGTTGGCCAGTCTAGCATATGCCGCTGATGATATTCTTTTGATGTGGGCCTCTGGGGACAGGTTCGGTGTGATATCAACCCCCAGATCCTTCTCTCTATTTGATTCTTGCAGGATTTCCCCTCCCAGATGATACCTTGTGTTCAGCCTCCTGCTCCCTTCGCCTAATTTCATCACCTTACACTTTCCAGAGTTGAACTTCAGCAGCCATTTTCTAGACCATTCCTCCAGTTTATCCAGGTCATCCTGTAGTCTCTGTCTATCTTCATCCGTCTTGATTCTTCTCATAATTTTGTATATACAGTACTGTACTGTGGGGGCGGTGTGCCGGATAAATATCAATTGTGACACTGGATCTCCACATAAATCAGTTGCTTAATTTAGAAACTGTACTTGCGGTCATCTCGAACCCATTGATGATGTGACGACTTATATTGAATTTTGTAACTAGCTCATCAAGATTGTAACTTGCTTAGTTAAATCAATTGGGGGTTCAGTCCCTGAGCCCATTGTATGCCTCTGTAACCCTTTCCACTACCTCCCACACGATGGGTATGGGGTGCATAATAAACGAACTAAACTAATACTATACTGTATAATGTTCTAATTTTGTCATGTCATTAGGTTGGGTTAAATTGTATCAGACAAAGGGTTTCACCGGTTTCAATAAATCATCTGGAAAATGTTTGTTTTTAAACAATGACATTGTATTCAGTCCCTTAATTAATCCTTTTATGTTCTTAAGAGTTTATTGAAGAAAAACGACCCGTGTACGAAACGACCTGACCCAACCCCATAGTAACATAATAAATGTACTATATATATATATATATACACACACACACTGACATTTACAACTGACAAAGTTAATAATAAATTAGATCAATTTCCCAGCATGTAAACAAGTTATATCTTTCCAATTATAGTCAAAATAGTGACAAATATCGTGTTGATGGGGGAGGCCGGCCGGAGGACATACCACTAAGAGCAGCGTGTATATATATAACCTCTTACAACTGACCACGGCCACTGTAGGTGCCTGCAGGGAGGAGCTACATGACAGCCACCGCAAAGTAATGTTCCGTGCTACTGCTGTCCTGCTCAAGTTAAACATCATAGAGGTGTGTGAAGATGATGACCCAGCAGCAGCGACCCGTCTCCCAGCCCGGCCAAGATGCAACTGTCTCGATAAGATCTCCAGTCTGTCGAAATTAACACTACCAGGGTTTACTATGTCAATTACGTAGCTCTGTGTAAACTTACTCTCAATTAAGTGTATAATATAAATCGTATTAAGGGTAAGGAATGACAGTTATTTAAAATATAGTTTATATTTTGGCCCGGAGTAGGATGAACGGTACGCCTCTGTTCTCCCAGCAGGGAATGGGTACCTTTTTTATTTATATTTATTTATTTATATATATACAAGAGTTCTTACATTCTTGTACCTGGTTGTTAAAAGATTTGGCGGGTCGTATTCCGAGGAAAATTACGATTATGGACCTGCCAGAAACGCTGTGCGTATTACTAGCTTTAGGCATACAGTAGTATATACTTGCTCTACCTAGAAATTCAACATTCTTCTTATCTCATTTTGTATGTATATATTTTTCCCTAAATAAACATGATTATTACCATTATATTCCCTGTCCTTCCCCACACAGTAGGCCCAATAGGTTCAGGAATTTGTTCATTGACAGTTGAGAGGTGGGACCAAAGAGCCAGAGCTCAACCCTCGCAAGTACAACTAGGTGAGTACACAACCCTCTTTCCACCATCACAGTAACCACGATGGTCGACATTTATTTATTTATTTTAATTTATAACATTTATATACAAGACTTGAGATACATTAAGTTAAGTGAGAGTACATAACATTGCTGTGACAGTACATAACACCAATGTAATCACTGCTATCAACTTATATCATAGTTATGTTGAACTCAAATTTTACCACAATGTACCTATTAATAATCCTCAAATTATGCACCAACGTACCTGTTGATAATCCTCTAATTTTCTTACGATGTACCTATTAATTTTCTCCAAATTTTCTTTTCAGTGGACCTATTAATATTCTTTAAATTTTGCTACAAATTACCTACTTAACATTATCTGTTAGATTAAAGACCTGCCCGAAACGCTATGTGTGTTAGTGGCTTTGCAAGAATGTAAAAACAGCAATGCTATGTACTCTCATAAACTCAATGTACCTTCTTGTATATATATATACATATATATATAAATTTTATGAGTAAATAAGATAAGAGAGAGAGTGAGTAGGGGCCTTGTTGAGGATGAGGAGGGAAGGTGCCACACCACCCGGGCTCACTCTGGGCCATCCCGCTTACTTCGGGGCGTTAAATACCAGAGTGGCCTACCATTTATGTTGAATGATGGCCATGTATGTCTTAATTAGGTGTTATAATTAAAGAAATAGAGGGCAATGTCTGAACTTCAGTACTACGCATGCGCAAATTCTCATTCAGTCCAGCTGGAGTTCAGGATAGCTTTTATTATATACAAAATTACTTTTTTATATATTGTTCAAATTGGTGCTTATATAGCTTAATATTTTATCTCCATCTGTATGAAGGATATCTAATCTTTAAGTAAATGATGAAAATATAATTATCTCGTTAAAAATTTATATAAAAGTGCTAAATGTACTCAAGAAAATGCTGAAATAAGCATTATCTCGTGTGGTATAGTAAAGGGTGTGAACGAAACAATATGGAGCGGCCTGGGAGTCTGGCAGCGAGGTGCTCCTCAGCGCCCACCAAAGATGGCGATACTGAAACCAAGAAGAAAATGGAGGATCAACAACCCCGTAGTATTGATATATGTAGAGGCCAAAAACTCGTGGTGACGGTGATCGAAGCCCAGGTTGACCTCCTCCTTGTGTCCTATGAACATGGCACTCAAGATTTCCAAGGAATTTTGCTGGATTCGACCAAAGGGTGAGGAGAAATAAGCGTTCATATTGGAGTGGTAACGTCGCTTCTCGCCTTGTTCAGTCTCTTAGCTCCCAGGAATAAGCATGTCTGTTGCTTCAAATTTCTCTTGATCTGTTGACGTTTAGACTCTGCGATATGTACCACCCTCATCAATGACACATCGTGCAGTGGATGGACACAAAAGCAGGTCTCCAAACCCACCAGATTACTTATTGACACATCAACATATGACTGGTTTTATTATGTGTCAGATGGCTGAGTTTTCCCTCAATAAATGTGGCTCGGTGCTTCTATATATAGTTATCATTTATGTAGGCTAAGAAAAGCTCAAGAAATGTATAATTTCGAGGAAAATATAAGGAGAAAGTTGTATATCAGTATTTTTGACCCATCAGCAGTTAGATATGTTTGGTATTCATTAATACCTTCAATATTGCTCTAACAGGTATGCACTGTACATATAATATATAGAAAAATATATTCTATTTAAAAAGCACTTTGTTAACTAGAAATGTTTATTTGTAAGAATTTTACAGTATTTTACAAAATTGTTAATATAATGTTGAGTGCAATTTTCCAGCTAAAATTTTCAGTTTAAATTGATGTTAAAGTTTGGAACAATAACAATACCCTTTTCCTTTTATTCTTTTATGCAATATTCTGCATACTTCATGTGCATTATCTTGCTTGGTATCAGAAAAGCTATGCAATATGAGGGCTGCTGAGGCCTCAGATGGGTAACAAAATTGGAAATGGAAATACTGTATTGTGTTAAATATGAAAGTCAGTGATTTAGAATTGTTTTAGGAGGGGATACTAAGGACTGTTTTTTTAAAAACGTAAAATTGTGTGCGTGTCCTTGTCTGATAACTTGCTGAACTTAAAGGAAAAAGTTTGCTGCATGAATAAGAGTTTATAGTGTGCAATATTATTGGCATTAACACCGCCGACATTGGTAGTGTATTTGGCTTCGTTCTTGGCTCACAATTAGGAATCCTGGGTTCAAATCCCAGGCCGGACAGAAATGGCTGGGCACGTTTCCAATCGCTTAATGCTGCTGTTCGCCTAGCAGTAATCGGGTACCCGGGAACTGGTCAACTGTTGTGGGGGAATGTATATGTATGTATATTTAATACCTTTTTATATATACTGTATGTATATAATTTTATATAATGTATGTACAGTATACATACAGTACTGTATATATATATACAGTATATATATATTATATATTATATATAATATATATATATATATATATATATATATTATATATATATATATATATATATATATATTTATATAATATATATATATATATATATTATATATTTATATTTATATATACATATATATATAATACATATATATATATAATATATATATATATATATATATATATATATATATATATATATATATATATATATATATATATATATATATATATTATATATATATATATATATATATATTATATATATATAGTATATATATATATATATATATATATATATATATATATATATATATATATATATATATATATATATATATATATATATATATATATATATATATATATATATATATATATATATATATATATATATATATATATATATATATATATATATATATATATATATATATATATATAATATATATATATATATATATATATAGCCTATATATATATATATATATATATATATATATTATATATATATATATACTGTATATATATATATATATATATATATATATATATATATATATATATATATATATATATATATATATATATATATATATATATATATATATATATATATATATATATATATATATATATATATATATATATATATATATATATATATATATATATATATATATATATATATATATATATATATATATATATATATATATATATATAAAACCTAGAAGGGGTACCACCTCTGGTTCAAGTGTAGGGACCCATAGCCTCGGAGAAGAAAATAAAGAGTACTCAGAGAAGACCTTGTGGATCCTCACTGAACACTTTGATATTTTCTTCTCCTACCACCCCTATTCTTTTGGTATGTGTTTATATTTATCTAACTTTATTTGAAAATGTCATTACACAAATGAACACAAAAGTATAAAGTACACATACACATAAGTACACATACACACATAAAAGTACTCATACACAAAAGTGTGTGTGTGTGTACTCACCTAGTTGTGTTTGTGGGGGTTGAGCTCTGGCTCTTTGGTCCCGTCTCTCAACCGTCAATCAACAGGTGTACAGATTCCTGAGCCTATTGGGCTCTATCATATCTACACAGGGAAGACTTCCTGAGACCTGGAACTTCAAGAACAAGAGGCCATAGATTTAAACTAACTAAACACAGATGCCGAAGAAATATAAGAAAATTCACCTTCGCAAATAGAGTGGTAGACGGTTGGAACAAGTTAAGTGAGAAGGTGGTGGAGGCCAAGACCGTCAGTAGTTTCAAAGCGTTATATGACAAAGAGTGCTGGGAAGACGGGACACCACGAGCGTAGCTCTCATCCTGTAACTACACTTAGGTAATTACACTTAGGTAATTACTTGAAATTGTGTATGGAGTCAGCCTCCACCACATCACTTCCTAATGCATTCCATTTGTCAACCACTCTGACACTAAAAAAGTTCTTTCTAATATCTCTGTGGCTCATTTGGGCACTCGGTTTCCACCTGTGTCCCCTTGTGCGTGTGCCCCTTGTGTTAAATAGCCTGTCTTTATCTACCCTATCAATTCCCTTCAGAATCTTGAATGTGGTGATCATGTCCCCACTAACTCTTCTGTCTTCCAGCGAAGTGAGGTTTAATTCCCGTAGTCTCTCCTTGTAGCTCATACCTCTCGGCTTGGGTACTAGTCTGGTGGCAAACCTTTGAACCTTTTCCAGTTTAGTCTTATCCTTGACTAGATATGGACTCCATGCTGGGGCTGCATACTCCAGGATTGGCCTGACATATGTGGTATACAAAGTTCTGAATGATTCTTTACACAAGTTTCTGAATGCCGTTTGTATGTTGGCCAGCCTGGCATATGCCGCTGATGTTATCCGCTTGATATGTGCTGCAGGAGACAACTCTGGCGTGATATCAACCCCCAAGTCTTTTTCCTTCTCTGACTCCTGAAGAATTTCCTCTCCCAGATGATACCTTGTATCTGACCTCCTGCTCCCTACACCTATCTTCATTACATTACATTTGGTTGGGTTAAACTCTTAACAACCATTTGTTCGACCATTCCTTCAGCTTGTCTAGGTATTCTTGAAGCCTCAAACAGTCCTCTTCTGTTTTAATCCTTCTCATAATTTTAGCATCGTCCGCAAACATTGAGAGAAATGAATCGATACCCTCCGGGAGATCATTTACATATATCAGAAACAAAATAGGACCGAGTACAGAGGTCCTCTGTAATTACCTAAGTAATTACCTAAGTGTAGTTACAGGATGAGAGCTACGCTCGTGGTGTCCCGTCTTCCCAGCACTCTTTGTCATATAACGCTTTGAAACTACTGACGGTCTTGGCCTCCACCACCTTCTCACTTAACTTGTTCCAACCGTCTACCACTCTATTTGCGAAGGTGAATTTTCTTATATTTCTTCGGCATCTGTGTTTAGCTAGTTTAAATCTATGACCTCTTGTTCTTGAAATTCCAGGTCTCGGGAAGTCTTCCCTGTCGATTTTATCAATTCCTGTAACTATTTTGTATGTAGTGATCATATCACCTCTTTTTCTTCTGTCTTCTAGTTTTGGCATATTTAATGCTTCTAACCTCTCCTCGTAGCTCTTGCCCTTCAGTTCTGGGAGCCACTTAGTAGCATGTCTTTGCACCTTTTCCAGTTTGTTGATGTGCTTCTTAAGATATGGGCACCACACAACAGCTGCATATTCTAGCTTTGGCCTAACAAAAGTCATGAACAATTTCTTTAGTATATCGCCATCCATGTATTTAAATGCAATTCTGAAGTTAGAAAGCATAGCATAGGCTCCTTGCACAATATTCTTTATGTGGTCCTCAGGTGATAGTTTTCTATCTAGAACCACTCCTAGATCTCTTTCTTTATCAGAATTCTTTAAAGATTTCTCACATAATATATAGGTTGTGTGGGGTCTATGTTCTCCTATTCCACATTCCATAACATGACATTTATTAACATTAAATTCCATTTGCCAAGTGGTGCTCCATATACTTATTTTGTCCAGGTCTTCTTGAAGGGCATGACAGTCATCTAAATTTCTTATCCTTCCTATTATCTTAGCATCATCAGCAAACATGTTCATATAATTCTGTATACCAACTGGTAGATCATTTATGTACACAATAAACATCACTGGTGCAAGAACTGAACCCTGTGGTACTCCACTTGTGACATTTCTCCATTCTGATACATTGCCTCTGATTACTGCCCTCATTTTTCTATCAGTCAGAAAATTTTTCATCCATGATAGAAGCTTACCTGTCACCCCTCCAATATTTTCCAGTTTCCAGAACAACCTCTTATGTGGAACTCTGTCGAAAGCCTTTTTTAGGTCCAGACACACACCTGTGTGTGTGTGTGTGTGTGTGTGTGTGTGTGTGTGTGTGTGTGTGTGTGTGTGTGTAATATAATGTATGTATGTATGCAAATAAATTTTAACTTTTTTTTTTTACTTATGTATTTTTTTTTCTCCACAATTTTCTTGTGGGCCTAATTTTTCATTTTTATTTTTCAGGAGACTTCCCTGTGGAATATATCCCCCAGGTGGTGAATTCCCACCAAAGCCACCAAAAGGTGCCACAGTATTGTCAGAAAATGATGATAAACTATTTTCTGTGAAGCAACGCCACACATACTTCCAGCAAGACACTGTAATTGTGGATCCCAACATAAAACCGAAAAAGGGAGTGCAACTCAGACAGTCAATTTCCCTTACTCAGCGTTTCAAAAACTCTCGTATGACAGTTCGCTTGAGGCCGAGACAAGTTTTGTGTTCTAAATGCCAGTCTATATGTAATGAAAAATCTGAAAACGTTAGTGGAGCAAAGGGTCAAAGAGCAACTGAACCACCAACAGCAGCTAAACAAGTTTCTGAGACACGAGGCAGCACAAGAAGTTCACGTGACAGAAGTTCCCAAGAGCAATATAGTGGTACATCACAAAACAAAAGAACAGAACGATCTCCCCAGAAGAATGTGCGACTGGTTCCTAAACTGGTGAAGCTGAAACCTAGTGAAATAGAGGCAGCAACAAACAAGGGAGTCAGCTGTTTAAGAAAAGGCTCACAGACCCGTAATGCACGAAGTGACTCGGATTCGTGTGATAGTGAAGTAAGTGTTGGTTCAAATACATCATATTCTGTGTCTGGAAATAATAGTGCTTCAGATGGCAGGGTTCCAAAGTTAAAATTGTCCACCAACCTCTGTGCCGCAGAATCGGCAGAAGCAAAGCGGAAGGGTCGCATTCCGAAGATGACTATATCGACTTTTAACCTTGCTTTACAAACTTGTGAAGGTTCCAGAGACAATTGGGATAGTGAAGGTAGTGAAATAAAAAGTCAGAGTATACCTAAAATGATATTATCTACTTCAGGCATTGTTTCTGAAGCGGTTGTTGATAAAAAAGATAAAGAGAGCGGGAAAAATAGAAAACAGTCTGACTCAAGTGAGGCACAAGCTGATGCCAAAGAACTAAGATTAAGATCGGGTAATGTACACAAGTTGACAATCACAGCTGCTGGACATCAAGACTTTGCAGAGTCTTTAGGTGATAGATTGTCTCCCATACCAAAGTTAACAATTCTTCCACTGATTCCCAAAAAAGATTCTCTAGAGGAGAAGAATGTAATTGATACAAAACATCACAAAATAGGTAAAGTTTCTTTAGAAGAAACGCCGCCCGAGAAAATGAGCTTAAGAAAAAAACGTTCTTTAGGTTCAATGGAAGACTTATGGGATGAAAGTGTCTTTGATGAGACTGCCAAGAAGCACAAAAGAGAAGAGGCAGAGGAAGGTAAAGAAGGAAATGATTTACAAAAACTTGTAAGTGACGAAAAAGATGGATTAGAAGGAGACAAGCCAAAGGCAACACCAGTGCTTAAGATTTCATTTGGACCAGAGGGGAAGGGTACAGTTCTCAAGATACCATCCAAGAGTACTGTTGTAACTATTAGCACACCTGAAGTAGATACTGAAGAAGAAATGACAAAAAAGTATAAAGATATGAGTGCAAAAGCAGCCAAGAAAGCATTGAAGAAAGCAAAAAAAGAGGCCCAGAAGAAGACTATGCTTGGTGGTGCCTCACCTGCTTATATTATGGGAGGAATGTCTCCAAGGTTTGGAGGCATGTCACCTCTCAGGCTTGGTGGCATGTCCCCTGCAAGACTGGGAGGTTTCTCACCTGCAAGATTTGGAGGTACATCTCCAGCTCGATTTGGAGGCATGTCCCCTGCCAGAGCGGCTGCTGTTGATCTTTCAACGCGTGATTTGCCTCCAAAGAAGCATAAACATAAAGTGAAACATAAAAAAAAGCACAAAGATGAACGCAGGCATAAGTCACCGGATGACATAAAATCCCAATTGGAAATCAAAGATCATAAAGATGACTCCATACCTGAGCCCATAGATCCAGACATCCCAGTTGAAAATATCACTCCAGATTTACACTGGAATGCGTCTGAAGGAATTGAATATCCTGTTGACCAGACTTCACAATCTGCTCTTAATCTTAGTCAGGCTTCATTAAACTTGCAATCAGCTTCCAACTCCGGGACTCCTTTGCAGCCATCTCGACACAAGCTTTCAATATCAATAAAAAGAGTGAGCAATGCTAGTTACGTAGCATGTGATTCAAGTCATTCTGATGGTGAAAGAACTGTCACCCCAACTAATCCCAGCTGTAATGAAGAGGTTGCTGATAAGCCACAAGAATTGGTATTTGAAATTGATGACATCAGACAGGATAAATCGCAGACTACCACATTCGAAAAGGAAGAGTATGGTAAAGATGCATCCTCGGAATTACCTCAGTCTTATGAATTGGAAAGTGCCAGAACGGAAAACTTGGCATTATTAATAGATACTGTGGAAGAGAAAAGTGATAGACCTACAGCAACTTCATATGGAATGGAAACTCCAGAGCCTTCTCTTCCGGGCAGTGACTCCCCTGGCAGCGATGATGCATGCAATGGGGTTGTTCCTGACTTCCCAAGCAGTGCTCCAAATATTGAAGGGATTGATGGCCAACCAAGTGCTGCTCTTTTGATGAAACTCAGTTGGCAAGAGGTTGAGCAGTGTGACATTGGAGAAGGAAGAACTATGGCTGTAGGAGATGTTGTTTGGGGAAAGATTCATGGCTTTCCTTGGTGGCCAGCAAAGGTAATGTACATTTTTTGCTCGATTTTAATTTTGAGGTAATTTTAATGAAGCATTTGGGTTATTAAAATAGAATTGTCCACTTCCACTACATTGTCTTTTGCCTTTTTTATAATTTTGTAACAATGTAGGTACTTTATTATTTTATTAGGAGATTATTCAATACATATTTGCACATACAGTATTTTGATAAAATCATGGACAGTTTAAATTTTAGTTATATGAATTCAGCTGTATCGGCTCTGCAAATCCTGATTTTCTAGAAGATTGGTTGTCAATCTGAACAATTGAGGTATGACTAAGTTGTTATCCTTCCATTGTATTTGATCTGTTGAAATGAGATCTGTTCAAATGGGACATCACAGTACTGTACTGTATTTTGAGATTTATATTTATAGATTGATGAATTTATATTATTGAAAATTACACTACACCATTAAGATTTGTTATTAGTCAAAATTTATTGCACACACAGTCAACTAATTTCTTTTTCTCTAAAGGTGATGGCCATTCGTGTGTTACGTGAAGGAAGTGGAGACACTAAGTGGCAGCAGGCTCATGTTAGTTGGTATGGCTCATCCACATCCTCTCTTATGCCAGCTAACACCTTGCAGCCTTTTCTTCAAATGTTCAAGGTGTGAATAATAATTTTGTGTATTGTACTGTTCAGTATTTTGATGCAGTATCTAGTTTTCTCTGGAATGTCAGAGGGGACTAGGGAACACTTGAATATGCAGATACTGTAGTTGTAATTGCATTTGGCAGCCAAGTCTGATTTGTATTCGTATTTACGTTATAAAGTAACATTTTAAATGCTTATATATGCACCTAGTACCCCAAACAAAAAGTACGAAGCTGAATATTTCAGACGAGATATAACAAGCGAAAGAGAGGACCATACAGGGAGGCCATCAAGCAGGCAACTAGTGAAGCAGAACAGACTCAATCTAATGATTTTGAATTTCAAGATCGTGAAGATGATCACCATCATCACCATCACCATCATCATCAACAGCAGCAGCAGCAGCACCAGACGCCTGAGAACTTACTTGGTGCATCCCCTCGGGAAGTGGATGTTGTTAGCTGAGACATGTACGGGGTAAGAATGGGTTAGATTTTCATCTTGTTTACGGAAGCAGCAAAAAAGCTTTAAATATAAATTTACATTGTGCAGTAGTCCTTAAATTCATTTTCATACAATGTTATAAAAATCATTATCTGTAACAATGGATAGTCCCTGTGATGCTGTTGAAAAATGCAGCTGGTTAGGTAGAGATTAGCTTGTGCAGTTTTCATATAATTTTCTGCCAAAAATCTCAAGTTTGCAAATACTGTACATTATTTACTCAAAGTTTAATCTAAAATGTTGCAAATAGTTTTGGTGCTTATGAAAATTTATCTCCTATTTTGTAACAGTGTGATAAAAAGTTTAGGCTGCAGATTTGTTTCTTGAGGAGTTTTCCTTACACTTAATATGGCTCCTTTTCTTTTCCTCTTTATATCAAGTTATTGGTAATGAAAAGCTTTCATAATGTTATTGTTGATCTTTATTTTATTCTAATATATGACTATATCATGAAAATTTCCATTTGGTATGTAAATATTTAATGAGCACTGATTTCTTTATTTTCTATGTTGTACATAACCTTTTTTCACAATTGCAGCAATGAGTACATCATTTGCAAGGAATACTTTTAGTGCAGACATGATTTTTTATCCACATAAAGTACCTAGTAAGATAATATTTTTTTTCCAAAGACAATTCATCACAGCTGTATTGCATAACTCAGTCTTAATTATGTTTCCGTTTTGCTCAAATGCCCATACCCTGCATCAATAGTACTCCCATGAGCATGGTTACTGGTACAATAATTGATAGTACCTCCATGAAGGTGTGGTTACCCTTACATTAGTTGGTAGTAAACCCATGAACTAGGTAACTCATACATTAGTTGACAGTACACTCATGAATGATGTTACTTGTGCATCAGTTAATAATACACCATGAGAACTTGTGCATCAGTTAATATTATACTGTACCAACGAATGTGGTTACGCGCTCATCAGTTGATAGTACACCCACGAACGAGGTAACTCGTGTATCAGTTGACACTACACCCATGAACGAGGTAACTCGTGCAGCAGTTGACACTACACCATGAACGAGGTATCTCATGCAGCAGTTGATAGTACACCCATGAACGAGGTATCTCATGCAGCAGTTGATAGTACACCCATGAACGAGGTATCTCATGCAGCAGTTGATAGTATACCCATGAATGAGGTAATGTGTGTATCAATTGATAGTAAAACCATGAACATGCTTACTCTTACATCTCTTGATAGTGCATACATGAATGTAGTTACTCGTGCATTAGTTGATAGTGCACCCATGAATTTGATTACTTGTGCATCAGTTTATAGTGCACCTATGAAGAACGTTATGCATGCATCAGTTGATAGTACTCACATGAACTGTTCGATAGTTACTTGTGTATCAGTTGATATTACTCCCTTGTACGTAGTTACTTGTGTATCAGTTGATAGTACACTCATGTATGTGGTTTATTTGTAGATATAAACCAATGGATGTGGGCACTAATTTTGATGTAAATATAAAATATAGTGCACCTGAAGATATTGTACACTAGGTGCAGAAAAGATTCACAAGCATGCAGTCTCTTATAGGCCTAATGCCTTTACTCAGGGTAAATAATATCCTTTTGTTTATTTAATTCCTGTTGTCGGGGACAGTAAGCCTGTACGTAAGCTTATCAAGGCTCCCTCTAGGCCAACTACTTATCTTTCCCAGGATGCAACCCACAACAATTGTCTAACTCCCGGGTACCTATTTAACTGCTAGATGAGCAGAGGTACCAGGTGAAAGGAAACATGCTTGTTTCTATCCTGCCCAGGTATTGAACCCAGGTCCTTTGATTGTGAGCTGAAGATGTAGATGCTGTAAGATTTTTAAACATAATAAAAATAAGAAATTAATAAACTTTAAAAAGCACAATGTTAACTTGCCTACTTGAGCGAGAAGTAACATCATTCATGGATTGCATTGTGAGGACATTGCATTGTTTTTGGAGTGCTGTTAGCATTTCTCAGTCACACACTTCCATCTTTCAAATTAGTAGGGTACCATCCTGAATTTTGAGGATCCCAGTAGACATGTATTTATTTTGTCATATCTTTCTAGCTACAAGATGATTTACCAAACTGTGATTTTCCAGATGACCGGTAACTTTAGGAGAGTAGTGTGTGATATCAGACTCGGTTCTCACACTTGTCTATTTTATTACTATTGAATTAAGTTTATTAAGCAGTTTTATGAACAAAATGGAAGAAACTTGCCAAGTTTCATGAATCTTTACCTGCTAAATGCAATGGTCTTAACTGTATATGGTAGGTCTAATAAATAGTGGCCATACTAATAAGATTAAAGGTTTAGCATGCTTGCTTGCATGTGGATGTGTGCAAACAAGAAACTATTGAGACACTGAATAGCTTTTCCTTGAGCTCTTTCATGTTGAATAAAAAAATCCAGAAAGGGTTGAAATTTCCCAGATAAAAATTCTTTAGATTTTCTGGTTTCATACATTTATGCCTGCATAAGTAAGGACCATCTTGCCCAACAGTAAGAGCAATTTTGTATATCCAAATATTTATTTTAAAATTAGTATGGCTCTGATAATACTGTATCAACTAGGCCTAAGTAAGTTAGTAATTTTTGTAATCTATATAATATTTAATTTGATTAAAGGGGAAACCTAATTTTGAATGATATGTTTGAAAATAAACAAAATTACTCTGGCTGTTAAGCAAAATGGTTCATGCTTACTTGGCCTAGTATTGTGGCTCTGGCTATTAAGTATGTAACACACACACACACACACGTACATGTATACACACACTGTTAGTAGTTTCAAATTGTCACATGACAGTATTGGGAAAATGGGACACCATGAGCATAGCTCTTGCCCTGTAACTACAGTTACGTAATTACCTCCACACACACATTCACATGTACACACCTGCACACATACACCCATGCGCACACACACACACACATAGCGTGTGTGTATACTCACCTATGTGTGCTTGTAGGATGAGTATCGGCTTTGTGCTCCACCTTTGAGTGTACACATACATGTGCTGTAATGTAAATAGAATCCTGACCTGCTATAATAGTTATTTCAAGTGATTCGGCTATGAAAACCATTTATGGCTCAAGGTTCAGATCTACTTTAATGCTACCGGTGCCATTGTACACATTGATGATGACTTGCATAAAGTTATATCTTTAATAATACACAGTCTATCATAATTATTTGTTTGTTCTCTATAAGAGCTTTTCCTTCCCATGCAGAATCATTGTCTAAACCAAGTATTCACCTTCAGGTATTAAGACTTGAGAAGGGAAATTAAGGGAACACATCAAATATTTTTACTATATAATTTATCACTTGGTTTGGCTGCATCATAAGTCAAGCATTTGCAACTTTGTTGTGTTGAGAAATACAAAAACAGCAGGAAACTGATGCATACAAAAAAAGTTTGGTATTAGGGCATGGCCAGGCTGGGATTAGGGCATGGCTGAAGCCGGCATATATTGTTTTAATTTGTGCTTTAGATTACGGAGTACCAGTCCACATGAATATAATGAGTGAATAAATCACTGTGATGCACAGACTTGCAAAATAGTGTCAGTTACTGGTTTATTAGTTAATTGATAGATACTTGAAAATGTTGGTTACTTGGAGATTGTTTTACTGTACAGTACTTCAGAATGCCTAACAAGAAGATAGTCGAAAAGTGTGCCAGGAAATAGAAAGGAACATAATGTAAAACAACAATTTTGCTAGAGGAAAGGCACCATGGGTGAGGGGAAAATCAACCCTCTTTACTTTGGCACATTAGTTTCTCCATGGACAAATTTGGCTACCTGATCTACTTCATATTAAGCTAGACATTTTTTATCGTAACTGATCGAGGAAGGTATCCCTCATACTTTCTGCCATGCACATCTTACAGAACAAAGTGTCATGAAATATTCATCAGAATACATATCCTACTCATCTATCCCCCCCCCCTCTCTGTACATATTTTTATAGTATGGACTTGGATTACTGTACATACAGAATGAGATGAGAAAAGGGAGAGTAAGCATAGATGGGTCTTGCATGGATTGGCAATATATGGGTGAGTGATATATTAGTGCTGTATGAGAGGGTGGGGGGATGTTATGAGTGGATGGGCAAGTTCAAAGATTGGGGAAGGCTGACCAGAAATTGATGGGGATAGCAAGTGCTGTTTTGATGGATTCAACCCATTTTGAAGAGTACTGTACATTGCATTTTGATATAGTTCCCCTAAGGCTAAAAACTGATGCACTAAAAGTGGTAGTGGCTCATGAAATTGATGTGATGTCCTATTTTCTGTTTGTGAGCCCACGGGTAGGTTAGGTTCAGGCAATTTAGCACAACAGTTTAGTGACATTGGGAATGCTTGAGAGAACAGGCTGGTTCATTTGCGAGTGAATTGAGTAGTAAATAGGTGGAAGAGTGTTGGGGATGATGTGGAGTGTGTTTGGTGGGGTAGGTAGGTGGTGTGTGGGAGTTAAGATGTTTGCAAAGGGTGGTATGTGTGCACAATTAGTTGTGCTTGCAATACTGAGTAGTAGCTCGTACAGCCATTTGGTCATTTAATGCAATGATTCTTATTCCTCATGTTTCTTGTACTTAGCAAACATTATTGAATTTGCCAAAATAACCTTTTCTCTTAATCCATTCTACTTTTTGCAACTCTTCTAGCATAGAAGGGCTTCCTAACATATCTTTAGCTCATTTGTGCATTTAGTTTTCACTTGTCTCCCTACACTGTTTCTCATTTTTAATAGCCTATGGTGTTTATCTATACAGCACCTTCTCATTTTGTTTCTGATTAGTTTCTCATTTTTTAACAGCATTCATTACACCACCCTGCATGACTTGTATATAAAGGGATACTAGGTCCAGTATTTTTTCTCAGCTGGTCCGGGGATATCTTTTCTCAGTTGGTCCAAGGATATCTTTTCTCAGCTGGTCCGGGGATATCTTTTCTCAGCTGGTCCAGGGATATCTTTTCTCAGCTGGTCCAGGGATATCTTTTCTTAACTGGTCCAGGGATATCTTTTCTCCACTGGTCCAGGGATATCTTTTCTCAGCTGGTCCAGGGATATCTTTTCTCCGCTGGTCCAGGGATATCTTTTCTCAATTACCTTCGTGTGATTGAACATGTATGCTTATGAGATTCCATTGTGTTGATAAATGGTATTCTTCCTCTTGGGTTATGAAAGTGTATAAAATGAATATTTAAATAACTTTAGTGTGTGTATTATTCCATATCATGAACCTCATTAAATGTAAACAGCCCGAAGAAAATATATTTCTCATTCATTAGTCATAAAGATATTTCTGTACATGGACAGTAGTCCTTTACAATATACAAAAGTATATTGTTATAAAAAACAGTATACAGAACAATTAAAAAAAAGTTTTAACATATTTTGATGCCGTGTGTGGGTAGGTGGGGAGATGTTTTGGTAAGAGATCAGATGGTCATTCTACACATACACACACACACTCATAAACATACTGTATATATATAGTGTTCGCTTTTGTATCAGTCTTTGTAATCTTAGACTTTATAAGCATTTGAATATCATCTTTGTCATTTAATTAAAGTTGCCACTCACTATTCTTAATACTGAAGTAAATACAGGTATCAATTACATCTCTTTCTGTACTCTATTTAGTTTAAAATAATTATATATATATATATATATATATATATATATATATATATATATATATATATATATATGTCGTACCTAATAGCCAGAACGCACTTCTCAGCCTACTATGCAAGGCCCGATTTGCCTAATAAGCCAAGTTTTCCTGAATTAATATATTTTTTCTAATTTATTTCTTATGAAATGATAAAGCTACCATTTTCATTATGTATGAAGTCAATTTTTTTTTATTGGAGTTAAAATTAACGTAGATATATGACTGAACCTAACCAACCCTACCTAACCTAACCTAATCTATCTCTATCGGTTAGGTTAGGTTAGGTAGCAGAAAAAGTTAGGTTAGGTTAGGTAGGTTAGGTAGTCGAAAATACATTAATTCATGAAAACTTGGCTTATTAGGCAAATTGGGCCATGCATAGTTGGCTGAGAAGTGCGTTCTGGCTATTAGGTACGACATATATATATATATATATATATATATATATATATATATATATATATATATATATATATATATATATATATATATATATATATATATATATCTGAACTCTAGAATAAAAATAAAATTTTTATAGTAAGGTTGTAGTACTATATATATATATATATATATATATATATATATATATATATATATATATATATATATATATATATATATATATATATATATATATATATATATACAGTATATATATATGTTTATATAAATATGTGAATTTGTACAGTATGTGTATGCTGTAATTCCTCTACAGTACTGTATTTGCATCTGGGATGCATTAATGGAAATTGGTACACAAGTCAAAGGGATGTAAATTGAAACTTATGTTCTTGTTATAGAATCAGTGCTGTAATGTGAGGATGGATTTCTAAATAGATAAACCAATTACAGTTATGTCTTAAATCATTGAAATATGTAGCATTCACCATTAGTACAATACATTCATTCTTACTAAACAGAAGCAGTGTGCATACTTATATAAGTATAGTTACACAATGAGAGCTATGCTCGTGGTGTACCATCTTTCCAGTACTTTTTGTTGTATGACGCTTTGAAACTGCTGGTGGTTTTGACAGTCTACAACTTCTCCCTGAACTTACTCCAACCATCTACCACTCTGTTTGCAAGAGTGAACTTTATTATTTTTTTTTTAACTCATACATACTTCTAACTCTTCATAGACGCCATCTTGTCAAATCGTTTCTGATACACAAATTACCCGACATGAACCTTAGTCCTGGTCTTGTTGTTTTGATCTAAAATGTTCTAAACTTTCTAACAAACGTGACCCAACATAAGCCTACCCATCCATTTTTCTCCTTCTCTTTCTTTTTCTTTTACTTTCTGGTTTGTTCCCATTTACTCCTATTAACCCCTGCATACCCTTATTGCATCTATCTTTCACCTTGCTCTTACCTTCCTCTAAGATTTCCTCCTCCTCACCTCTCTATCTTGCCTTACTTATTCTCGCGCCTCTCTCGTCTCTTCACAATCAACTTGATAATGGTCCAGGACAGACCGAAACGTCGTCGTCTTTTCACCTTCTAGATTCTGGTTTGGTCAATATACTCTGTTATATAATTTCTTTCCAGGTGTTCTAATCATTTGGTTTTAATCACTTCTTCAAATGTTTTGACTACCATGCTTGTCAAAACTATAGGTCTCATAATTAAGAGGGACTTCTCTGTTGCCATCTTAGGAGCTGGAATTTTGGAACTGGTCATTTAGTGTTCCACACGTTTCATTTTCATTCTCTATGAATCTGTCCTCCATTCTCAATGTCTGTATTTTATCCATTACATGCAGCTTGCTTTTAATAAATTTATAGAAAAGGCCTGGTTCTGTTTTACATTTGTCTTCTACCCCTTTCTCAAAGTTTGTACTCCTCTAGTTGTGCCTGTGGGGGTTGAGCTCTGGCTAATTGGTCCCACCTCTCAACTGTCAATCAACTTTTTTTTCACACATACACATACCCCCCATCCCCCAAGGAAGCAGCCCATAGCAGCTGTCTAACTCCCAGGTATCTACTTATTGCCAGGCAAACAGGTGCATTAGGGTGAAAGAAACTGCCCATTTGTTTCTGCCTCCGCCGGGGATTGACCCCAGACCCCTAGGACTACAAATCCTGAGCGCTGTCCATTCGGCTATCAGGCCCCAGTTTGTAATTACCCAAGTGTAATTACTTAAGCCACTTAGTGGCATGCCTGTGCACATTTTCCAGTTTGTTGATGTGCTTCTTCAGGTATGGGCACCATACAACCACTGCATATTCCAGCTTTGGTCTAACAAAAGTCGTGATGTCTTTAATATTTTGTCATCCATGTATTTAAAAGCAATTGTGATGCTAGAAAGTATAGCATAAGCTCCTCACATAATGTTCTTTGTGGTCCTCAGGTGATAGTTTTCTATCTAAAACAACCCCCCTAGATATCTTTCTTTATCAGAATTCTTTAACATAATTTATAGGTTGTGTGAAGTCTATGTTCTCCTATTCCACATTCCATAACATGGCATTTATTGACATTAAATTCCA